CAGTGATGTTTTACACAACACTTATAAACCAACAACAGTGATGTTTTACACAACACTTATAAACCATGTTTTACACAACACTTATAAACCAACAACAGTGATGTTTTAAACAACACTTATAAACCAACAACATTGATGTTTTAAAAAAAAATTATAAACCCCAAAACATTGATGTTTTACACAACACTTATAAACCAACAACAGTGATGTTTTACACAACACTTATAAACCAACAACAGTGATGTTTTACACAACACTTATAAACCAACAACAGTGATGTTTTACACAACACTTATAAACCCCAAAACAGTGATGTTTTACACAACACTTATAAACCAACAACAGTGATGTTTTACACAACACTTATAAACCAACAACAGTGATGTTTTACACAACACTTATAAACCAACAACAGTGATGTTTTACACAACACTTATAAACCAACAACAGTGATGTTTTACACAACACTTATAAACCAACAACAGTGATGTTTTACACAACACATATAAACCAACAACAGTGATGTTTTACACAACATTTATAAACCCCAAAACAATGATGTTTTACACAACACTTATAAACCAACAACAGTGATGTTTTACACAACACTTATAAACCAACAACAGTGATGTTTTACACAACACTTATAAACCCCAAAACAGTGATGTTTTACACAACACTTATAAACCAACAACAGTGATGTTTTACACAACACTTATAAACCAACAACAGTGATGTTTTACACAACACTTATAAACCAACAACAGTGATGTTTTACACAACACTTATAAACCAACAACAGTGATGTTTTACACAACACTTATAAACCAACAACAGTGATGTTTTACACAACACTTATAAACCCCAAAACAGTGATGTTTTACACAACACTTATAAACCAACAACAGTGATGTTTTACACAACACTTATAAACCAACAACAGTGATGTTTTACACAACACTTATAAACCAACAACAGTGATGTTTTACACAACACTTATAAACCAACAACAGTGATGTTTTACACAACACTTATAAACCAGTGATGTTTTACACAACACTTATAAACCAACAACAGTGATGTTTTACACAACACTTATAAACCAACAACAGTGATGTTTTACACAACACTTATAAACCAACAACAGTGATGTTTTACACAACACTTATAAACCAACAACAGTGATGTTTTACACAACACTTATAAACCAACAACAGTGATGTTTTACACAACACTTATAAACCAACAACAGTGATGTTTTACACAACACTTATAAACCAACAACAGTGATGTTTTACACAACACTTATAAACCAACAACAGTGATGTTTTACACAACACTTATAAACCAACAACAGTGATGTTTTACACAACACTTATAAACCAACAACAGTGATGTTTTACACAACACTTATAAACCCCAAAACAGTGATGTTTTACACAACACTTAAAAACCCCAAAACAGTGATGTTTTACACAACACTTATAAACCAACAACAGTGATGTTTTACACAACACTTATAAACCAACAACAGTGATGTTTTACACAACACTTATAAACCAACAACAGTGATGTTTTACACAACACTTATAAACCCCAAAACAGTGATGTTTTACACAACACTTATAAACCCCAAAACAGTGATGTTTTACACAACACTTATAAACCAACAACAGTGATGTTTTACACAACACTTATAAACCAACAACAGTGATGTTTTACACAACACTTATAAACCCCAAAACAGTGATGTTTTCCAAAACACTTATAAACCCCAAAACAGTGATGTTTTGCACAACACTTATAAACCCAAAACAGTGATGCTTTACACAACACTTATATACCTCAAAACAGTGATGTTTTACACAACACTTATAAACCCCAAAACAGTGATGCTTTACACAACACTTATAAACCCCAAAACAGTGATGTTTTCCACAACACTTATAAACCCACAACAGTAATACTTTACTTTACTATTGTAAACGTTTTGATAGTTATTGCATCTCATTTAACCATCTTGACCTCTTCTTATATTAGTAATATAGTAAACGAGTGATGGTTTCTTTACAAGAATTATGCATTTTGTTTTAGACATTTCACATAAACATAGGCAATTATACATAGAATCACAGGAAAAATTAGTCAGTAAGTTAAACAGAGCAGCCAGTTTGTAAAAATACTTGTTTACTGATGATAAATGGGGAAATAAGAAAAAAATCAAATGTGGCAAAAAAGTAGTAACATTGAAGGAAACACAAAGAAATCGACCAGTTTGTCTTTTAGGTATGAATACAAAGTTTAAGCAGACTGGAATGACACATGATACCTTACAAAATTTATTCAATTTTGCCATCTGATAATTTTTGTTTTTCAGTCCCAGTCTATTATCACAAACTACAATCACAAGTTGTCACAATAACACAGGAAAATGAAATGTCACTCGCCAAAAACATGTCCTCAGTTTAGGACAAGGGAACAAAACTGCATGAATAAATGAATGGCATTTTTTTATGGTGGTGTGGAGAAAGGAGGAGGTAACAGAATTCTGTATTCACCCCTAATGACCCTACAAAACATAAGTAACTGTGATCTTAGGAACAGACTTTGAGAAATTTTCAAAGCTTTTTGAATTTTTAAATTTTCAAAAATTTTTATTTTTCGTACGTATTGCATGTATATACAGTACAGATGTAGACAGAATGGTGATGAGAACATTATTGTTTTGAGAGAGCAATAAAATACAAATTCGCTGTCTTTGTAAATGGGACAAATCACAGAAGTGTACAATAAAAGTAATGATGGAGATTAGATGATTGAGTGCTTAACTGTCAAACCAAAACAATAAACAGTTAAAACAAACACAATTTGTAATCATTCTAACATGTAATTTAAGAAGGGTAGATGGACACACATCATTGATCAGTTATGTAGCTTACAATGTGAAACTGTATAAAAATGATTCTTTAATCATATGAAAATTGTTCAGAAACTTGTGTATATATTGCTCCTACTGTTTAAATTATTCATACATTTGTAGGCCAGTTGATGGAGTGTTGTAAGCTAAAATATGTATGTTTTTGCATGAAAAAGAACCAGGCTGCACCACATGTATTAATCCATTAAAAATGAATTACTAAGTCTGACTGTGAAGCCAATGAATACAACAGTCTCTGAAATATGGCAACTACTCAGTCAGTGATAAATTCCATAAACCTTAAGTGTCTCTTGATATTGTCAAAGACCAAATGACAACATCTAAATCTAAAATTTTGTCTACATTTGTGCAATATCTTGGTGAGCCTGAATTTTCATAAGAAATTTGAAGTTTTGTGAAGGGATTTGTAGAATGGCTAAAATATCTTTTTTATAGTTTGTTTAACTTCCTCATATACATAGTTTCTGTAACTATATGTAAAGTCTGCAGCACAAGCCCCAATCAGATCTTTTGATACTTTGTGTATATTTTCAGATGACTAACAATTACATTTTCCCTAAGGATTCCAGATAGAGACACCACAAAGGGTCTTTAATAAAGAACAATCAAAATATCATCTATATTATGTATGCATCTGCCATAGATCTCTAGGAATTTCAATGTCACTATATTTTGTTTGATGATGTTGTTACAAAAGAACACATATCAGATATATCCCTGACAAAGATCAGAAAAACATCAACTTAAAACCATAAAGAAATTATCACTAATTAATGTAAATAATTTTGTAACATTTCTTTTTGAAATCAGTCAGATCTCAAAATTTGCTTCCTTTAGTATCCAATACATCAAAGAAGAAGAAGAGTTTGGTATGCTAGGTCCCAAAAGTCTGCTGTCAATCAGTTTATCTTTTGAGCTTTGTCCATTGTTCCAAAAATGATTTCAGGATGAAAGACAAAAAAAATTAGGAAATACACACTGTAAATGGTATTTTTTCTCTATACCGGAAAAACTGTGCAGCCTAGTTTAACTGTAAAAAATACGAAGAATGCAATATGGAACACCTGCTTTATTTACTCATTTGAATGTACAAAAAGCAGCTCACACAAAAGTAACTTCTATATAGCTGACAAGAAAATGGAAGTAGGTAAAAGTAATGAACAAATAGCAACTAACTGACTGCATATATCCAAAGACAACTAATGAATATACAAAGTTCCAAATTTAAATAAATGTAAGATTAACTATGAAGATTAATCAGATTTCAATTATAAAGAAAATACAAACTAACCAAAACCAATTACCATCATAACAATCTAAAATTGTAGCTGACAGCTGAGAACTAAAACCAGATATTGCACTGTTCCTACTTCCTTAAATATCAGTTGACTGTAGCCTATCTGGGTGTTAATTCTTGACCAACAACAGCAATTGTAATGGTTATCAGACTGTCAGTGATGACACAACATGAAAGATGTCAACCTGCCCCACCCCCCTCCAAAAGAAAGAAGAAAATGGTGAAACAACATTAGAAATACTACTCATGCCTCCGAATTTCATTATCTTGGTTATATATTTGATAGTAATATCCCTTCGGAGGCCTCATTCGGATGCATGACATCCAAGTACCTTGTACCAAGTGCATTATCCGGTATTTCAACAACCAGGTCAGACATCCACAAATCAAAATTACCAATTATCCATGGAAATATAATAGGAGTACTTCATCGCTGTAATATGTAACATGCTATACAATAACGTTGGTAATCGCCGAAAGAAATGATCACGAACCCAAAATCTCTAGCAGGGATGCTGGGGCAAAAGAAAGGGGATCCGATATCTAATGCAATACATATTGTGTATAAACAAAACAAATCGGACATCACAGACTATAAACAGGGCATAATTACCCAAATATAACATAACGGAAGCTTTACTTAAACGCTGCGTGGAGTTTGCGGCATCCGTGCAGATGAGTGCAGTGAAAACAGACCAAACGTCAAATGCACTTCCAAGATGAAAATACACGACAGTGAAACTACGAACAATTAAAATATCTCACCTTCTCTGGCTTTGATGTAGACGGTGTTTGCAACAATATTTTCTAGTTCCATTTGGCTTTTTTGAGGTAATGGGCTGCAAAAAGGGTCAATATTAGACCCTATTTTGAGTCCACTATCCTCCTAATCGGCTCGCCTGGGTGTGGTATAGGAAGAAGCAATATGGCGATCCGATTCGGAATATGAGAGAGACGTCAATTCTCATTGGTCAAAATAAACCTCATAGTCGGATCGATTAGTGCTGCAAGGGCGATAACCCTTACATAATGAAATTATGTTCCATTTGTGTTCTGGATTCCATTTGAAATGTAATAACCACATAATCATCTGTAAATATTCAGTAATAGATTACTACTTGATATATTCGGTGACAATTATGTAAATAAATGAACTACATTAAGTGTATATCAAAAACGCTAGATAATAGCCTAGCTTATTGTGTTAATGGTAAAATTAAATAAATAACAAAGACCATTTTTAATTGTTCCCTGTTCAAAGACTTGCCAGAAATGGGGACGTTTCCTTATTAGTTTTAACAGGAACGTATAATACAGTACAATACTGTGTTATACGTCACTGACTTTAGATAACTGTGTATAAATATAACGGCCTCCCGTAGACATGAAACAGTCGATACTGTACAGTAAGCCGATGGAAGTTGTCATTGGGGGCAATATTGACCTTGTCCTTAACTAAAGCATATTAGATATCTTATATAATAGAATAAGTCGTGCGGGTATTCTATAATATAAAACTCATATATAAAAAAAATCAGATATAAGTGATCTTATGTGTAAAGAAATCTTATTCAGAGTTATGATTTAAGACTTCCCAGACACTATGTTATTCGAATACAAAAACAAAACAAAAAGGAAAAACAAACAAACACAAGTGTGTGTATGTATACGCGTCTACAAAAGAACTAGCCAACAGAATTAAGACCAACAACAAATTATTCTGGAGCTAGGTGTCAAACTGAAAACCAAGATAAAAATAACTGTGACATGAAAAAATTGCAAATATAGCACCATTTTTTAAAATGAGAAGTGTAATAGTTGTATCTGGAAAACTCTTACAAAGACTGGTTCGAGATGTCATCGTATGCTATTTGACAAATAACCATCTTTTTTAACATCAGCATGACTTTAGGTAAGGGAAATCAAAGTACAGAAAATGTGCTTGAATTATTAAAACATTGGAAAGAAACACTAGACAAAGGATTGTATTTTGATACAGTCTACTGAAGACAGTTGTAAGGCATCCGTACCGCCATCTACTTTTAAAACTATGTGGATATGGCATCCTTGGGGATGTACTCAACTGGATTCAAGATCTAAATCAATCTAAAAAAGAGCGGTGATTAATGGGGAATCATCAAGTTCACTGGATGTCACAAGTGGAGTATCGCAGGGAAGTGTGTTGAGTCCTGTTTTGTTTAATCTACACAGATGACTTTGATCCTTAAGCAGCCAATAACAGTAACTTTTAACCGTTTTTGCAGAGTACTACAAACGATACAAGAACCGATGTTCCTTTGAAAGTACCCACGAATTCAACATTGACCTGAACAATATGGTCCCATTGACAAAAACTTGGAAAATGCTATTCGGTTGGTTGAATCGGTAACTTCAGAGACTTTGGCGTTTCGGATAATAAATTAAAATATAGTCGATATATTTGCAATTTTGTGAACAAAGCCAATAAACTATTAGGCCCTATCTTTCGGACATTCGTTTTTATGGACAAAGACATGTTTTCGTATCCTAATAAAAATCTCATTGGATCACACCTAGAATACCCACCTCAGGTATGGTCGCCTATCTTAAAGAAGGATCAGATTGCCATTGAATACGTACAGAGAAGAGCGACTGAAAGAGTAATTACATTTGAGAGAACGTAATATACAGAAAAAATCTTGTTACCCCCTACTGGTTTGTAACACTTCCAAATGGACCGATTTGATTTCCTCTCCGTCATGCCCTATTTTTCTAACTTGAATAAGCTACGATCATATCTAAACTGAGTTGTCGATATACGTTCAGTGTTAATTTAATTTGCACGTAAGAATCAAACTTTCAGAATAAGATTTTAAAGCTTTGTACGTACCGGAAGTGATAATTGATAAATTATCATCTATATATAGTCAATCCCGCCAATTGTGCTGAATTTAGGAACACTAGTCGCTTATCTAATCAGTGATCAATTAAATTCCGTGTGTGGTGAGATGACAGGAATGGATTCATTGGATCCAATCAAGTTGAAAAGTCTTCTTCACGTGAATTCATAAAAGTATATCAACATATCAGTAACTATTTTAGATACTATTTTCTAAATGTTTCATATCGGTAATAGATTAATGCTACATAGTTATATTTGAACTTTACGAACGGTTTCTGTCATAAAAGGTTTCTTTCAAATCATTAATGTACATTTAATGTAAACAAGATCTGTCGTCTTTCCCGCAATATGACGTAATATCATAGATTTATTGTATGTCATTATTGCAAGTTTAACAATTAAGGTTTATATTAAAATCCTTATATTGTCATCCCATATCCTCTTTATACGAAGCGTCGCAGTTCTTGCATCCAATTTTGTATACGCATTCTGCGAAATTATGGCTTACACACTGCAATTTATGTCAACATAGCCGTTAAATATTGCTATAACAACCAATGTCAAGGACAATAAGGGTCATTTATTGGAGCTTATTTGTTGGTTTATCGTCTCATGAACAGCCAGGATCAGCTGCCATGACGACGTTTTATCCTTGGGATGGACTAGGACTCTTCGGAAAATCTCGTGATGTTTCATGGCTGTCGCAAAACCTTTACCTTGGTAATTCCTCTAGATCCCCTGACAAGTCTTTCATCTAAAGGATGACTTGTGTAAGGGATATTGCATTCGGAAGTTGAGGATTTGGTTCGTGAGTATTCGACTTTCCTCATTAGAAGGGTGTTTGGTAATAGCATAGTGTCATCGATTTCTTCTCAGAGGTGAGTTTGATGCTGTTGATGATATCTACGGTATTGATATGTACCGTCAAATCCTGCTGTAACCTTTCCTTGACTATTTCCAATATGTCTTCAACACATAATTTCCACAGACTAGACCTGCACTTTACAAGGGCTGAGGATATAGTCTATTTCTCCAAGTGCTTATAGAGCAGAAGCCCACAGGGGTCAGCCTAGCTGGAAAGGTAACAAAATTTGTTTTGCACAGCAAGGATCTATATACTTGGGCAAACAAAGAAATGAAAGTCTGCCGGTCCCCTGCTGGTGGGTGTGGTCCTCAGGGGCAGGATAATACATGGAAATTTGAGCTAGCTTAGCTTTCATGAGTAACAAAGAAAAACAACTCAATATGTAATAAGCGTGATAAAGCGTATTAGAAATGACCAATGACAGAATTTTTTCGTAGTGGGGTACCCCTTCCAGAGCTAAAAAAAGGGCCCCAAAAATCATGCTAGCTCAGCTCATGGGGTAACAACTTAAAACCAGCCTCAAATTTATTAGTGGGGCCCACTTTAACAGAAAAGAGCAGTGACAGACATTTTCAGTGGCGGGGGAGGGTTCGAGCCAGACACCCTCAAAGTACCACGCCCAACAGCTAAGCTAGCTCAGCTCATGGGGTAACAACTTCAAACTAGCCTCAAATTTATCAGTAGGGCCTACTTTAACAGAAAAGAGCAGTGACAGACATTTTCAGTGGTGGGGGAGGGTCCGAGCCGGATGCCCTCAAAATACCTTGCTCCAGCCCAATGGATATATCAACACATTACCTAATATTGCATTGAATATCCTCTCAGGCCTACATCGTGAATAACTAATCCCAGAGGATTTTTTCCACCCAGAGTCAGTGAATCCATCATAGATACAATCCTAATTCAAAAGGTCATACAGCTTTTCAAGAAAAAGTAATTAATGTCAGTTGTAGTGATAAGAGAGATCCCGTTGCATAGGCCACAGCATGCAACAGCATGCACTGTGTAGCTTCTCCAGACTAAATTTTAGGGAGAGTACGATAGGTGCATGTGGTCCTGGATGTTCTTGTCCGTATTTTTTTCCAATTTCTTCTCCATCATCACTTGATTTCACGCAACAGAGTACATGTAACACAAGAGTCAGGTGAGTGACATTACATTAGACTTGCTAAAGTTCACCAATTTGACTTTGTATTGAATTTTTTAGCTCCTATTATCTGGCAAAAAAGACTGGGATTATAGCCCTACGATCACAGACCACAGAATAAACGTTGACCAGCCAGTCAAAAGAACGAAAGTTCAGAACTTCGCTGCTGAGAATGTAAAGAAGAATGTCAAAGTACCAGCTCTGAAGAAAGCCATTACCAATGCAGAGAGCATGCGTGATGCTTTCATCATTCTGATAGTGGCTGTCGCAGAAGAAACAAGCGTAGACCTTCGCAAGGTCCTGTCCTTCCCGATCATCTCATATCCCCTGTCAATTGCACACTGTGATGGGTCACATGTGAAGACAGTCAAGGCAGCACTTCTCAACAAGCTGGAGTCCATGCAGACAGTTTTTTTTACAGTGCAAGACCTCTCACAGGGTTTTGCACAGATCTTTGATGGTGGACTGCTTCTCCACTCGACAGTGTTCCAGACGAATATTGGAGCACCATACGGATTCATTGCTCCGTCAATCCTGTCTACTGTTTGTAAGGGGAGAGCCACGGAGGTACACGTATGCCTTGATAAATATGTCACAAATTCCATCAAGGAAAGCGAAAGGAAGTTGCGTGGAGCAATTTACTGCCAGTACACAATCACAGGACCTGATCAGAAGATGCGGCAGAATGGTCAGAATTTCCTTGGGAATGGCAATTTCAAGGATAAACTGGGAAAGTTTCTGTTGCATGAATGGGGAAAAGAGCACTACCGCAATATCTTTGGAGGGAAAACAGTTATTGTGTCATATGGAGGAGACTGCTACCAGTACATTCCTGATGACCGACAGCAAGTGATATCTGTCACCAAGCCAGCACATCTGCAAGGAGACCATGAGGAGGCAGACACACTCATAGCCTTCCATGCTGTCAACGTCACAGCTGGACAGATAATCGTCAGAGCCTCAGACACAGACGTGTTGGTGATCCTCATAGGGGCTATTTGGAGTCAACGTCCAGAAGTGAGGTCACTGGCGAACATAATCTTAGACTGTGGGATGGGGAATACGAGGCGATTCACCAATGTCTCAAATATTGCTGAAGTCCTGGAAGAATGCCAATCCGGATTACCAAGAGCACTCCCAGGGTTCCATGCTTTTACGGGATGCGATTTCGCGTCTGCGTTCTACAGGTAAAGTAAAAACACTAGGCATTGCAACTTCAAAAATTGAGAAAATTAACATTTGGTTGGCCTTTCGTTCAGAGAACCAGGAACAATAGGACTGGTCAGGAATTGGTCTAACCACGTTTAAGCGTTTTATCTGTGTTGAATAGGTCCAAACATGAGATGGCAGAATCGGTATATTCTTGACAATCCCAATTTGAGAGATTTTATCAAAGAAACAGAATTAATCAGAGCTGACACACATGTTTCAATGCTACAATGATAATTTGAATTAAATTTGTCTTCCTTAGGAAAGGTAAAGCCAAACCCTTCGACATCATGAAGAAAGACGCCACCAGAAAATTTGTAGAGATGTTCATCAGTATGGGAGATATCACTGTGGATGTTGACACTGACGTTGTTTCAGAATTCGTCTGCCTCATGTATGCCCAACACAAGACACGAGATGTTAATGAAGCCCGTTACCTCAAGTTGCTTGAAATGACTGGAAAAGTTTACCAGGTGAATTGACAATAGACTGAAATGTACATGTATAATAATGTGCTTTACAACAGTACCCAAAGAGGAACCTTATAACCAACCCTCTATTTTCCTTTCAGGATAATCCGCTTGCCAACATCAACAGGGTGGACTGTGCACTATTGCCACCAAGTCGCCCAACCCTCAAAATGAAGATACGCCGATCACAGTATGTTACAGCGATATGGAGCCAGGCAACCGAAGCTTCTCCTGGCAGCAGCTTGATACCATCAGATTATGGGTTGAACAACAAAGACAATATTCTACAACCTGCCAGGTATGAGGGACCTGCAGTTCCATCGAGCCTGTTCAAAACAACTAATGCCGATTCCATGGAAGGGGACAGTGACAGTGATGAGACCATCATCACAGGTAGTGATGACATGGACTTAGACAAAGAAAATCCAGATGAGCTGGATGAACTGATCGAGTCTGACGACGAGCCATGGAGTGAGGACTCCGATTCAGATCACGAAGATGACAGGGAGTAACATAATTCCAATTTAAATTGGAAGATAACTGGCGATTGCCATTGGCTCGTCCTCTGTTGAGAAGGTCACTGCTTATTTCTGAAAAAATGGGCCCTTCTGATAAATAGGAAGTTGGTTTTAAGGATAAACTAAAGTAAATTGCTATTTTGGAAAAATTCCGAAATCAGGCATGCCGGTGTAGCCAAACTGACAGATGTGAGCAACCAGTATACATTCAAACTAGGTCTATAACAAAACAGACATGAATGGTTTACTTAATTTGGACTGAAATTGTGTACTTTGGCCTGACTGACTGAATAAATTTATTTCTGCCACTTTCCAAAAAATTCCAAAATAATGGTTCACTTTAGTTGATCCTTGAATTGTTACCCTATGAGCTGAGAGCCTAGCTTGGCTGTAGGGCGTGGTACTTGGGGGTGTCTGGCTCGGACCCCCCCCCCCCTCCCCCCCCTCCCCCCCCCCCACCACCACCACTGAAAATGTCTGTCATTGGTCATTTCTGATAAAGTGGGCCCTACTGATAAATTTGAGGCTAGTTTTAAGTTGTTACCTCATGAGCTGAGCTAGCTCAGCTGTAGGGCGTGGTACTTTGGAGGGTCTGGCAGCCGGGTACCCCACTACGAAAAAATTCTGTCATTGGTCATTTCTAATACGCTTTATCACGCTTATTACATATTGAGTTGTTTTTCTTTGTTACTCATGAAAGCTAAGCTAGCTCAAATTTTCATGTATTATCCTGCCCCTGAGGACCACACCCACCAGCAGGGGACCGGCAGACTTGCATTTCTTTGTTTGCCCAAGTATATAGATCCTTGCTGTGCACAACAAATTTTGTTACCTTTCCAGCTAGGCTGACCCCTGTGGGCTCCCGGTCTATTTAATGAATAAGTCTATGATTAAGTACTAAACAAAGCATAACTGAATTAGTTCAATGTTTCTAGCTAGTGGGAACTCTCTTTCCTTGTTTACAAATTGAAGGGGTAAATGTGAAAACTGTAAATACTTTTATAACGAAACGCAAATTACGTAGTTTGTGATGCCGTCACAACAATCACATTTACGCATGACGTCATGGTAAATACCTTCGACAACAAGGGGTGGCATTCCTCTGCAAGGCATGCTATATAGATATTTTCTTCGTACTACTGAATTTTGCTTTGAAAGATTTTGTTAGTTTTGTGGTAACAATTCCGGGGGATGATATTTTTCACTAACCACTGTTATTACATCCATTTAAATTCATTACATTGTCTTTTTCTATGAACTTAAGGAACAAGATTTTGTATGTAATACAGTTTATTAGAAAATATTTTTTAATCTAAAATTTCAGCCCGTCCTTGTTGAAGATCGAGCACCTCGTTGAGGTGATACGAATGATACTGTATTGTACTGAAAAGTACTCTAGACAAAAATAATTAAACTTAAGCGCTTTGAATAAATAGATAATTGTCATGTTATTAAGTGACGACGCTTTATAAATAAGTTTCACTTAAAATAAATCCTGGGACTACTTCCGTAGCACTAACCGTGCGAAATCCGAATTTTGGGTCTAATTTTATGATACAAGTTACGATATCCGGTCCATGTGGACAGCTTGCTGATAGATTTGTAAGTTTGTTGTCAAATAACCTGTTTTGTAAGAGTTTTCTGACATGACGTTGTACTATCTGATGTCATTATTCAATTGTCATACCTTCTATTGTCAAATATAACACATTAATAGAATGATACTTTTACTGATCGAATATTGAGCGAGACAATTCCTACAATATTACCAGTTTTGACGGAGAAAGTTAACAACTATTTTTTAGTCAGATTTGCCGGTGCCCAAGTATACGTACCTGGCAATTTAGTAACCGTATGCGCCTTTGTTGTATACCGACAGTCCTTCCTCATTGCCCCAATTGATGAAGTAAACCAAAAAAAAGTGTCGACTCCAATATCAGTGATTAGTGTCATAGTGACTAGCCTTAAAAAAAGCTGCACATTTTGATCCAGGTAAAAAGCACAGATAAAAAAAATATCTAAAGGCATCTCATTTTGATTCTCAGTTTTGTTGTAAGATTTGAAGCTTATTACAAACTGACTTTCATAAACACTACTGTACTCATTATGTCAATGTGGTCACGACATGTTTAAACACACATCTAGATGCAAAACAACACAAACTGTCAGAGTGATAATTAAATTCCAATATATTCAAGAACAATTTGCCATCTAATTTTAAGACTGCATGTTGAATAAGAGGTTGCCCTAATGTAGTTTCTCGTGTCAGTCATAAGGCAGTTATAAGTGTTTTAACTATTGTTCCTAATTTTATCTTTTGTCACAATCTTGCTGTTATCAGATGTTGACTTTTTTGTTGATAGTGGAAGGCAAATTTCAAAATAAGCATCCTAACAAATATTTGTAGTTATAAAATATCATCATATGCCAATATTCTATACCAACATGCATTTCAAGATTTTACCAATGTAATTATTTACTTTGTGTATGGCATACTGGTGGTGTACTATGTATGTACAAGGAAAGTTTTGAATGTGATTGTGAAACTCAATATCATAAAAGGAGATTTATGAAAAAAAACCTTACCAAAACAGGTCATTTTTTGTCTATAAATGATCCTTTCAACTTGACAGATTTTAATATTTGCTTTCACAGTGAAATGGTGGTATTTACTTGCAATGCTTGTGGCGACTCGCTGAAGAAGAACCAAGTTGAAAGTCACTATCTAGGAAAGTGTCGTCGTTGTGAAGTTGTATCATGCGTTGACTGTGGAAAGGATTTCTGGTAATTAATTATCACAATTAAGCACTATATGATTATCATTAATACTGAGGTTGGTCATGCTGACAGGGAGATAACGCTAACACACTTCCTATAATGCTTATCAAACTGCTATCTTGGCACCAAATTTCATTGAAAAATATTTTCATGGAAGGACAAACAGGAATAAATCTTGGGGATTCAAGAATTCCTTGTTTTATGTAGATCTAGTTTTCTTCAGATATAAATCTTGCAGAAATGCATGTATTTTCACACAAAAATGTATTTTATTAGCTCTGCGTTGTACCTTCAGTCTGTTTTACTTTTGTGCATTGCTTTGTTTTAGATGTTTGTCAGTATATTCTGTCACCAATTGTTATTAAATTCTGGTACACTGCTATACATGTGGACAAGTGTGCATTTGGTAAGGTCTGTCGTTTTGCTTTAAACCAAACATCTGTGAAAACCAAATTACTAACAATGATTCACATTATTGATGTTGTAGGGGTGATGACTACCAAAGTCACAACAAGTGTATCAGTGAGGAGGAGAAATACTCGGGCAAAAACTACAAACCTAAAGCTAATGCTAATAAAGGGGATGCAAAACAGGAACTCTGGCTACAGGTAACTTAGCTTATACCATCCCAGCAACACAAACCTAAAGCTAGTGCTAATAAAGGGGATATGAAACAGGAACTCTGGCTACAGGTAACTTAGCTTATACCATCCCAGCAACACAAACCTAAAGCTAGTGCTAATAAAGGGGACATGAAACAGGAACTCTGGCTACAGGTAACTTAGCTTATACCATCCCAGCAACACAAACCTAAAGCTAGTGCTAATAAAGGGGATATGAAACAGGAACTCTGGCTACAGGTAACTTAGCTTATACCATCCCAGCAACATAACCCTAAAGCTAGTGCTAATAAAGGGGATATGAAACAGGAACTCTGGCTACAGGTAACTTAGTATAACCCTGGTAAAATACTAGCCGCAATATATCACTCAGCTAGAGAGGACTTCTCTTTAGCTCGATTGGTTGAGCGTCAGACTAGTAAGCCAGGGGTCCTGGGTTTGATTCCTAGCAGAGGCATTGAGATGGAAAATGACCTCTGTTACACCATTACTAGTGCTGATAAAGGGGATATGAAACAGGACCTCTGGCTACAGGTAACTTAGCTTAGCACATTAACATGACATTTTTATGCCCTGCTTTGGAAAAGAAGGAATAAATGGTATCCATGATGTCCACATAGACTGACTGAAACTGACACCCGTACTTTATAAGAGGAAAAGTTTAAATTCATATATTTAAATGTTAAGAAGTCCACATTGAAAAATAGTAGTAGCATTCCTCATGATCATATCTTTCATTTTATTCTGCATAAGTATATTATTATTCTTTACAGCAAGTTCAACATGCAATTGACAAATGTAATGCCAATGCCCAGCTGAAAGGGTTATTGGAAAGGATGAAGGATTACCCCAACATTCCAAGGAAACGAGCAAAGTTTGAGGTAAAAATGGAGGATTTTAAACATACAAGTCATAAAAAATAGAAATAATTTAAGCAAAGTAATTTGGATATGGTCCAAATAGAGATGAGTTCAGAGTTTCCAAATTAAAGATTATATATATTTTTTTAAATTGTGTTTTGATCCACTTTCATGTGCTCATTAAGGATTGGCCTTTTCAAGATGATGGAGGAAGATGACCATAAAAGGCAGGTGTTCATTTTAAGTTACAAAATCAGTTACTAATGAATACAATCTTACTGAGACAAGTACCACACCAAACTCAGATATATACCAATTTTATATAACAGTATTTATTTGTTGCTGATCAGTTCATAAATAATTGTGACCCTTTTGAAAGGTTGAGCAAATTGTAGAATTGGGTATCAAGGCAGAGTTCAAAGGAAGTTTTTGCTCATTCTGAAACATTTCAGTAGTCAAATAGTTTATGTTGATTATCAGGGAAACACTCAATTACATCTGTTTTTATCTATTTTTCAATATATATATTTCTATCATATTTACAAAAACAAAGCAAAATTTATCTGTGTCCTATACATATTGATGGACACTTTGCTGTCAGTGGGGGAATTGAGTCCTGTTCAACCTATCAATTGATGATGTTCAGATTAAGTCCGTGTGATAAGAGAATGAAAACATTGAGACATCCATTTTCAAGACTTGCTAGGGGGTTTAGAAATATATTTTACTGTAGTAAACAAAAAATCAGTTATTTCTAAATTGGATTATTCATGCTAATGAAGTTTAATTTGATATCCCAACCAAGCGATTTGAAACCAAAATAAACATTCTGATAGTACAACAGGATTTTTGGTATTTCAGTATTTCCACTTCATTCTAAAACTTATTGCAGTCACTAACTGAAATAAATCCAGAACTGAAATTGGTTTTGTTTGTTTTTGTTGTAATCAATCCGTAACATAATATATATTCTACTATTTCTGAGTTTGGTGTGGTATTTGTCTCAATCAAATTGTATTCATATACCAGTGATTTGGTAGCTTAAAGTGAGCCCCTGCCTTTTGTGGCCATCTTCTTCCACCATTTTTGAAAAGACCATTCCTTAATGGGTACACGACAGTGATATTGAAGTTATTGAAAAATTTCAATAATTTGATATGGGAAGTCATTAGGAAAGTGTTATATCAAATTATTGTACAAAGTTTTTAGCATTATAACATGGACAGGTTATATTGAACAAAGTTCATATTCATAGGAAAATAATGGTTTACACAGATATCATGAAATGGAAGCAACATTTAACTTAAATGGTATATTTTACTAACCTAAGATGATAGCTAATATATCTTCTATTAACATATTAATGTTTTCCCCAAAAAGCCAAGACATTTCATTGTAATCATCATTTTAAAAGTAGTTAAAGACATAATTGATCATACCATTGCAAATTACTGTATATTGAAGTCCAGTTCTCAGAATACTGGGATGGGTTAATCTTGAACTTGCGGAATACTGCCCATTGTAGCAAAAGGGGAATATTTGCCCTGTTTTGAGAAATAGAGAATTTCAGGCAGTTATATTGGTCAAAAGGGGGATAGGGTTAAAATATATATATAATATACATGGATATAACATGAAGAAGATATAACAATGTTGAGGTTAGACTGATATTTCTTTTTCATTACAGCATGATTTGAAAAATTTTAAGTAGAAATGTATTAATTAGCTCTGTTTTGGGGGAAATTTTCCCAAATTTGGGAAATTTCCCAATTTTTTCAGTACATTTTCTAGATAGGGACATTGTTTATATTCAGAAGGGGAAATTATCAATTCGTGAATACTACCCTTTTCTGGTAGTACGATTTGTTTAGATTAATCTCTGCACCTGTGATTAATTAAATTCTAGTGGAATCAGAATATATGTCAGTATAAAAAACAGCTACATTGTATACATGTACATTTGAATGAGTTTTCGATGTACACTTAACAGTGAAATACTCAATTAATATAGATTATGGAAGTATTATTTGTCTCTACCTGAATTTTCTGCCTAGATTCCCTTATCATGAGTTTAAGGAAACAAAACTTTATTCTTTCAGAATTTTGTAGGTAATAGTTTAAATACAAGGAACAGTTACCTGATCAACCAGGCATGGGATTTGTTAATGGAAAATACAACACAGGTAAGATATTGTTAGTCAAGAAATTTCCACTTTCAAATTGAAAAATAGTAAGATCATAACTTATCTAGTTTGCAAAATATTTTCAGATATTGAATGAGAATTAAATTAAGACTTTGTAGGTTTTTAGGTCTCACGGTGACATACACATTTTGTTGGTGCATACAGTAAACATTTTACATTTTTTACTTCTAAAAAATTTGGAACCAATTTCAATGAAACTTTGCAGAAATCTTCCCCGACACAAGACGAACCAAAATTGTGAATTATATGGTCCCCACCTCCCGTGGGCCTGAGGGGCAGGGCCAAAAGAAGTCAAATTGACAGAATCTTCTAAATGTCCAGATATTTTAGAATGAAATGCTGTCCATGGATGGAAGTGTTCTAAAATTCTTTACCAAAAGTGTGAATGTTGTGACCCCAGGATCTAGCATTTTCCACTCGGGGAGATTATAATGAAAAATTTGATTTTTGAACATAATTTGTTTAATTTCGATTCAAAATGTTTCAAATTTTAGTAGAATTATCAGTATGAGATGTCAGCTTGATGTTGTGACACTTGAAAGCTACTTACCCTTTATCCTTTATATTCAACATTGCTTACCCGCAGTGACCCTATAACATTTATATTCAATATTGCTTACCTGCAATGACCATCAAGGCCATTAGGTCTCATGTCGTACCAGTAGATCTGTGTAAGAATTAATGCCAAAAACAGACAAATGAAACAACAGGGGACATATTTTCCATGTTTTTGTCCAGCTCTAATGCTAGTTCTTACTTTAATACAATGTACTCTAAGTCAATCAGTCAAGAAACATGATTTTGGATAACCCAGTATATTGATGTACTACATCATTTTAGACACTAAGTCACTGTGACTTTTATTTTCTGCTTTCTGCATTTTCTGTAAAGCAACAGCATCAGTATTGAAAAATTGTATTGCTTTATCTGATACTGTTGACTTTGTAGCCCACCAACATCAATTCTTTGTTATTGATATTACTGCTGGTATGGGATGGACCTTTCTCAGGTTTAATATGAAGGTTCCACTTGATCCCTAGATGTACTTCATGTATTTTGACTTTAGAACTCATTAGGAAAACAAAAATGGCTGACAGGTGGCCATCTTGAATTTTGACAATGAAAGTTCAGTATCACAATTTCTGGAGAAGTACTGTATGGATCTTTCCCAAATTTCATATGACAGTTCCACTTGATCCCTAAATGTGCATTTTGATTTTGGGACTAATTAGAAAAGTAAAATGACTGACAGATCATAGGCCTTGAATTTTAATAATGAAAGATTACTCTCACAATTTCTTGTGTAGTACTCGATAGGTCTTTCCCTAATATTATATCTAGGTTCCCCTTAGCCACTTATTTTGCCCTTTAGATTTTGGGACTGACAGAAAAATCAACGTGGCCAACAGGGGATCATCTTGTATTTTGAAATTAAAGATTATTATCACTACATTTTATTTCAAATTTTATATAAGTAAGAGAAAGAACAGAGGAAGAATAGAGAAAAATGGAAAAGATTCAAATAATAAAAAAAAAAAAAAAAACAATGGTGGGTGCCAAGATCCTTCTGGGATGTCTTATTTAAAACATCTTGTTTATACACCAGAAAGTCTTTGTATATAAGAATCTCGGAGTTGAAAGCAGACTTGATGACATAAATCTATATATTTTCAAAAACAATTCATCATTTATCATTTTATGAAAAAATATCTAAAACAGAAAACATATTAAATGTTATTATATCTACTATAAATGTCTTTTTTTTTTATTCTTCATTTTAAGAATAAACAACCAGAAAAGAAACCTCTTGAAAATGGTCATACAAATGGAACTAGCCAATCAAAGACAGAGGAGGTTGTTGCTCAACAAGTGATAGAGGATCAACCATGTGAAGAAAGAAAATTAAGTAAGAGAGAAAGGAAGGAAGAAAGAAGTAAAAAGAGTAACAAAAAGGAGAAAAAAGACAAAAGTGAATCAAGTGAAAATGTAGACAGTGAAAAAAGTAAAAAGAAAAAAAGCAAGAAAAGAAAGAGAGATGAAGAGATGGAGGAAGATGAAACAGAGGAGCCTGTAAAGGTTAAGAAGAAGAAAAAAGATAAAGGTAAGGTGCTGATGCTGGAGAATAAAGAAGACTATCATAAAACCCTGTACAAAAGATAAGCATACATACTGTGGGTAACAAGATTCACAAGTTACTGACCAAAACATCAGCAAGATGCTTCATTAATTTACAAAATATTTCTGAATATTGGTGATTTACAAGGCCTTTATGGGTTTTTTTTCTTCTTTTATGAGTACTTGTTTTATTTTCAAAAGGTCTTGATTACAATGCAGAAATGGTAACATCATTCACATTCTCACACATCATAATCAAAATATGGAATTTGGTTTTACTTTTCTTATAGATGCAAAATTCATGTAATTTTCATAATAAAAAAGTCAATATGATGTATTCCCCAGAAAATGCTGATGAGTCTATACTTACAAACAATAACCTAGAGGATGGGGAGCCAGAGGAGGAGAGCCCAGCCAAGAGAGGGTTGAAATTTGACTGGGTAGAGGTTATTACCACTGTACTGCAGAGTAAAGGCGAGATGGCATTAAAAAAACTCCGTAAGAAGGTATGGAGTTTTAGCAATCAGAAAATCTGATGAAAATGGGAACTTCTTATCTGATAAAGGGTCATTTTAATGATAAACTGCAAATACTGGATTAATTATAAACTGAAAATATTTATTTGTCGAAAGTTCATATTTTTTAGAGCTTGAAAAGAAATTTAACTGTTATTTTTAAAAAATTTCAAGAAATCATTAACATAACTGGTAATTAACATCATTAATCTGTCTGTTTAATAGAAATGTTTGGTATGTATGTCAACAGTATAGACAAAATTACTGATGAACGATTTGTATTGTGATTTTTTTTTCTGATTGGCCAGGTACTCGCAGAATATTCATCACAAGGAGGGAGGCCCATGACTGAGGAAAAGCTTGGAGCGAAATTTACCAAGAAAGTCACAAAGAACCCTACATTTGTTGTGCATAAAGAGCGAGTGAAAATACGTGACAGAAAATAGACACAAATAGTTGCTGCAATATGTCAGTTTTAATTTTTTAAAAACTTGTAAGATGACAGCTGACCAATTAAAAGAAAGAACTTTTATCTAATTTGGTTCTACTATTTTGTTATAAAATTTATTGCCACACATATTTAGATAAATCATAATGTTGTCAATATGTTTTACACAAAATAAAATCATGTTTACCCAGTAGTCTTCCTTGTGAAATTTTCGGAACAACAAAGGAGGTTCATTTATAAATGTTTTACAGTGTTGAAACAAACATACAGCTAACAGACAATTATGTCCCTGACAATAAATTCAGGGCAGAAGAATGGATATTATCAAACATGGTACATGTACCTAGATTAAAAGAGAATAATGGAGGAACAGTGGTAGATAAAGAGTAAATAATGTAGGAACAGTGGTAGATAAAGAGTAAATAATGTAGGAACACAAATAATGTAGGAACAGTGGTGGATACAGAGTAAATAATGTAGGAACAGTGGTGGATACAGAGTAAATAATGTAGGAAATAATGAAGGAACAGTGGTAGATAAAGAATAAATAATGTAGGAACAGTGGTAGATAAAGATAATGTAGGAACAGTGGTAGATAAAGAGTAAATATTGTAGGAACAGTGATAGATAAGTAAATAATGAAGGAACAGTGGTAGATAAAGAATAAATAATGTAGGAACAGTGGTAGATAAAGAGTAAATAATGTAGGAACAGTGGTGGATACAGAGTAAATAATGTAGGAACACAAATAATGTAGGAACAGTGGTGGATACAGAGTAAATAATGTAGGAACAGTGGTGGATACAGAGTAAATAATGTAGGAACAGTGGTAGATAAAGAGTAAATAATGTAGGAACAGTGGTAGATAAAGAGTAAATATTGTAGGAACAGTGATAGATAAGTAAATAATGAAGGAACAGTGGTAGATAAAGAATAAATAATGTAGGAACAGTGGTAGATAAAGAGTAAATAATGTAGGAACAGTGGTGGATACAGATAAAGAGTAAATAAAGAGTAAATAATGTAGGAACAGTGGTAGATACAGAGTAAATAATGTAGGAATGGTGGTAGATAAAGAGTAAATAATGTAGGAACAGTGGTAGATAAAGAGTAAATAATGTAGGAGCAGTGGTAGATAAAGAGTAAATAATGTAGGAACAGTGGTAGATAAATATTGTAGGAACAGTAGAAATAATGAGGAACAGTGGTAATATAATAATGTAGGAACAGTGGTAGATAAAGAGTAAATAATGTAGGAACAGTGGTAGATAAAGAGTAAATAATGTAGGAACAGTGGTAGATAAAGAGTAAATAATGTAGGAACAGTGGTAGATAAAGAGTAAATAATGTAGGAACAGTGGTAGATAAAGAGTAAATAAATAATGTAGGAACAGTGTAGGTAATAATGTGGAACAGTAGATAAAGAGTAACTAATGTAGGAATAGTGGTAGATAAAGATTAAATGATGAAGGAACAGTGGTAGATAAAGAGTAAATAATGTAGGAACAGTGGTAAATAATGTAGGAACAGTGGTAGATAAAGAGTAAATAATGTAGGAATAGTGGCAGATAAAGAGTAAATAATGTAGGAACAGTGGTAGATAAAGAGTAAATAATGTAGTAATAGTGGCAGATAAAGAGTAAATAATGTAGGAACAGTGGTAGATAAAGAGTAAATAATGTAGTAATAGTGGCAGATAAAGAGTAAATAATGTAGGAACAGTGGTAGATAAAGAGTAAATAATGTAGTAATAGTGGCAGATAAAGAGTAAATAATGTAGGAACAGTGGTAGATAAAGAGTAAATAATGTAGGAATAGTGGCAGATACAGAGTAAATAATGTAGGAATAGTGGTAGATAAAGAGTAAATAATGTAGGAATTGTGGTAGATAAAGAGTAAATAATGTAGGAATTGTGGTAGATAAAGAATAAATAATGTAGGAACAGTGGTAGATAAAGAGTAAATAATGTAGGAACACAAATAATGTAGGAACAGTGGTGGATACAGAGTAAATAATGTAGGAACAGTGGTGGATACAGAGTAAATATTGTAGGAACAGTGATAGATAAGTAAATAATGAAGGAACAGTGGTAGATAAAGAATAAATAATGTAGGAACAGTGGTAGATAAAGAGTAAATAATGTAGGAACAGTGGTGGATACAGAGTAAATAATATAGGAACGGCAGTAGATAAAGAGTAAATAATGTAGGAACAGTAGCAGATAAAGAGTAAATAATGTAGGAACAGTGGTAGATACAGAGTAAATAATGTAGGAATAGTGGCAGATAAAGAGTAAATAATGTAGGAACGGTGGTAGATAAAGAGTAAATAATATAGGAATAGTGGTAGATAAAGAGTAAATAATGTAGGAACAGTGGTAGATAAAGAGTAAATAATGTAGGAATAGTGGCAGATAAAGAGTAACAAATGTAGGAACAGTGGTAGATAAAGAGTAAATAATATAGGAACAGTGGTAGATAGAGTAAATAATGTAGGAACGGTGGTAGATAAAGAGTAAATATTTTAGGAATTGTGGTAGATAAAGAGTAAATAATGTAGGCGCAGTGGTAGATAAAGAGTAAATAATGTAGGAACAGTGGTAGATAAAGAGTAAATAATGTAGGAATTGTGGTAGATAAAGAGTAACTAATGTAGGAATAGTGGTAGATAAAGAGTAAATAATGAAGGAACAGTGGTAGATAAAGAGTAAATAATGTAGGAAGAGTGGTAGATAAAGAGTAAATAATTTAGGAAGAGTGGTAGATAAAGAGTAACTAATGTAGGAATTGTGGTAGATAAAGAGTAACAAATGTAGGAATAGTGGTAGATAAAGAGTAATAGTGTAGGAATAGTGGTAGATAAAGAGTAACTAATGTAGGAATAGTGGTAGATAGAGTAAATAAACTGTGTTCACAACAATGAATAATGAAATAATAGTGGATCACTCTCAGTTTGGTCAGAAGCATCCTTGGGAAAGGGTCAATCTTGTATAATACATGGAGTGTGAACTTTGATTGGCAGAGGCCAATAAGGGAATTTTATCAAATTCTTTCGAATTTTTCCTCTTCAGGAATAACAGGATTTGGTCTTAAGCAAAAATGGGTAAAGTCTATTAATTGTATTAATGATGGGTCTGAACATCTTGGGTAAAGAGGGGTGTAACAAAGTTGGGAAAAGATTTGGAATCCTTCTGTTTTTTTACCAACTTTGGTCTGAAGCATCCCTGAAGGAAGTGGGTGTAATTTTGTGTAATTAATGGTTGTTGATCCCAGGGGCCTGAGGGTATGAGCCGGATAGGGAAATTTAAGTTTTCATCTGAAGCAATCATGAGTGAAAGAGATAAAGGATGGGTTTGACCCCACTGGACTAGATGACTGAGTCAAACTGAGGAAATACAGGCAAAGCTTTAAAATCCTTCTGTTGAAATGAAACAATTATGACCAACTTTGACCATAGATTGTTATGGCTAATTCTTGTGAAGAATTTGATGGATCTTTCACAGATTTCACATGTAAGCTCCCCTTAATCCCTAGTCGTGCTCATTTGATTTTGGGACAGATCAGAAAATTAAAATCATGTTGGATAAGACATTTAAAATTATGATTGCCATTTCTTGAGAGGAATTTTCAGTCTTTATAAATAAGAGCAAAAACTGTGGAAAGAAGAGGAAATAAGGAAAAAGACAAATAAAGATCAAACAGTGGTGGGTGCCTGTTTCCTCTGAAATTTCATGGTATTCGACTCATTTCAGCTCCATTTGGAGTTATGAAATCTGGGTGGGATCATTGGACTGACTTTTCTTCAACTCTGTGAAATAATTATGGTAGCTTTTACCCGTATAATTTTCAGGTTCAGGTGAATTGGATCAGACAGTATAAATACAATATATATATATTACTCACAATTTGATAGGGATCACACCTAATAACTAGCAAAATTTTCTTTTAAAATAAAATAATACATACTTCTTATATTTGTTGGTCTAACGAGGTCTATGTGTATTGGATGTTTATGTGGTAAGTCACCCATAACGCCTACACTTCACGTGTACACACAAGCCTCCTATGTGCAGATTGTCATCAATACGTTTGTGGTAGAATATCTCGCTTTTTGCTTTACATTTTTTATGGTTTATTTTAATGGTTTCAAAATGCCCCGACAGCAGGCTAGAAGACGTCTAAGCACTTCAGATATGGACAGGGGCATTGGTATGATCCAGTCTGGTAGGTCACAAAGGGAGGTGGCCAATGACCTTGGTGTGTCCCAGAGTGTTGTGTCCCGTATGTGGAATCGTTACCAAAATTATGGAACTGTCTCCAGAAGACATGGTGGGAGTCGGGAACGACTTACCTCGCAGCGTCAAGACCGCTATCTTGTTATTGCAGCTCGACGTCAAAGGTTCATCAATGCTATGTCACTACGTAATGACTTCCAGAATGCCACCGGAACTCGTATCTCAACACAAACTGTGAGAAATAGACTTCATGATGCTGGTTTAAGGTCGTGCAGACCTGCTGTGAGAATTCCTTTGACATTACGACATGTTCAATCTAGACTTGCTTGGGTTCGTGATCATGTGAATTGGAACCTCCATGACTGGTCCCCCATACTTTTTACAGACGAGTCTAGATTTTGCTTAGATTTCACTGGCAGATGTGCCAGGGTGTGGCGACTACCAAATGAGAGGTTCCATGCCGCTAACATTTCCCAACATGACCGATACGGTGGTGGATCTGTTATGGTTTTGGGTGGCATTTTTTATCATGCAAGGCAAGACGGACCTTCATGTGTTCCTTAATGGCAGTTTGACTGCACAGAGGTACTTTGACGAAGTCCTGGACATGTACGTCAGGCCTTATGCTGGTGCTATAGGTCCGGAATTCATTCTTATGGACGATAATGTGCGACCACACAGAGCTCGTGTGACTGAACAGTATCTGGAAAGGGAAACAATTGAGAGGATGGACTGGTCAGCCCGATCTCCAGATCTCAATCCTATAGAACATGTGTGGGACATGCTTCAGAACGCTGTTCGGCGAGAAACATTCAACCTAGAACGCTTCAGGAACTTCAAGCAGCTCTCGTCGCTGAATGGACAAGTATTCCCCCCAAAACCGGATACAAGACTTGATTAGAAGCATGCACCGCCGCTGCCAGAGCGTAATTGATGCTCGAGGACGTTATACTCGATACTAACACTGTATTTTTCGCTGAATGACACTGTTTCGTTGGACTTAATTTTTCGCCCCTTTTGTCGTAATTTGCGATTTTCGTGGTATCTGTGTACAATGAGCATTGAAGCAAATTAATACTGTTATTCTTCGCTTGGTGTTGTTAAATCTTCATCTTATAATGCCGAAATATGTATAAATTGAACTGTTGAATATATCCTTAAAATAGATACCGTTACACATTAAATAAAAAAGTGATCCCTATCAAATTGTGAGTAGTATATATCCTTGCATAGACTCCATATTTTAATTACATAAAATCAAAATTCAGATCAGAAGGAGTCACTTGATGTATTTACTTATTCTAACTATCACAATGGATTTATCTCCAAGTTTAACCTCACATCCTGGTAATCATTTGTATCTCCAAAGTCTCCTGCTTATTCTCAGACCTCTATTGAGTGTTTGTAGATTGTCAAATTTCAGAGTGAACACACTATTAATTACCTGTCTCTACATGAACACATGCAAGTTACCAGGACTAATCAGAGAGCAGGATAAAGGTCTGGCATAGCCTGTAATGTTACTTAAGGCTGCAGTAGCCTACTAATGGACCAATCACTCCATCAAAGTGTACATGGTTTTGTATGATCTAAGCTAATGTAAAGAAATTTCTGCTTTAAACAAAATGAAGATTTTAAATAAAAACTCAATAAACATAAAAATTGTATATAAAATTTATTGAATTTATTAGCAAAATTAGTTTTCTAACTACTGAAAGCACTTGTACAACTGGAATGAGGCACTACTAGATTAGGGGATTGTGAATTGTTCTCTACCAAGTATCTAAGCTCCATGAGCATTCCAAATACCGAAAAATCTGTAATCTTTATGAGGGATTTATTTTTGGGGAAATTCATGGTTACTCTAAATCCATGAATTTACATGAACACTAAATGATTCACAGAAAAAAGGTGACATTGAATATAGCACATTGTGGGTTTTTGAGCAAGATTCACCAACAAAATCAAATGCCAATGAATATATACATTTTTGGAAAACCTTAAAGTTTGAGCCCCTATCGTTCATTATATGTTTCGTCAAGCAATTGATGAAATATTTATTTTGATCCAATACTTGAACCTGGTATTTCTTTTGTAAAGAACAAATATGAGATGAGAATGTTGACAAATCTGAAAAAGATTCAAAACTAAATGCAAACAAACTAAAATGGATCTTATGTATATCACTACTTGGTTGGTATCAAAACATGATCTAAACAATTCTACACTAACCAATGAAATTTAATCTTCAGTTTTCATATGAAAATTGATAAATGAATCATTCTTACAGTTGGCAGGTCTTTTAACAGAATTAATAAGATATTATGTTCTTGAAGACAATATTATGTTAATTAAAGAGAGTAATCTTTAATACAAGCAGTTCTTTGATATCAAAATCAGCAGAAAAAGGCCTTCTGATTTTTTTCTAAAATCCGCCCTGGATCCTTGAACTAGAATACTGTGTCTTCTACATCAGCATTCTCTTTTCTGAAAAAAAAAGGAAATTGAGATACAACAATGGCCAATCAGATAAAAGAAATAACTTTTGTCCCTTACACTAATACTAATTATCTGTTTTTTGTAAAATGTCAGGTCTCTGTAAACATCAAGGACCTTTATATCTACAGTTGATGACCTGTAAATTTGGTCTGTGAACACAGATGGGCATGTAACCGTGTTTCTGGGGGCAAGGGGTTGTGTTGTATAGCATACATACATACACATGCCCCTTCTTTCAAAATATAGTAAACTAGATGAGAAGTGAACAAATGATCTCCAATAAAAATACAAACAATACTTCAAAAGAAACTGTCATTAATCGTACTACGTCAGATTTAAGTAACTTGCTAGACTTACTCAAGTCCTGAGTTCTGTTCCTCCTCCACTGTAGACATCTGTTTGATGTTACGTAGAGGGACCTTGGTAAATACCACTGGCTCTGACTGCTTCTGCTCCTCTGTAACAGAAAAGGTCAATAGGGCAAAGGTCATTCTTGTCAAGGTTAATAAGCAAAGGTCAAAGTCAATATGGCAGTGGTCATTCTGGTTAAGGTCTGTATACTGGAAAATGTTATTTAAATATAATATGTTGATGTTACACAAACAGGAAATAATTCTGGGAACAAAAATTAAAGGATAATTTTTGTGAAAACAATTAAGATGGACATTAAGGGTGATACTTTGTAAAATGTCTATATATTTTGCTAAGCACTTATCTGACTTTTGATTCAGAGGTTAAAGTCACCGTGACCTTATAACAGCGCAGTAAGGTTTTCTTGGATTTCAAAGTCAAATTTGTACTTTCCTGTCCTACAATTTTTACCCTGAAGATAAATGTCACAGTGACCTTATTACACATTATATATATCTGTATATCTGTATCTTAAATATGAACCATGATATACTAGAAGTTAGAGCCCTAACAAGTCAAATATCCTAGGTTAGAGTAATTTTTGTATAATGACAGAAAGGCCTCATACTGACTCATGCAAACACTCACTTTTTACTCTGTCCATCAAATCAACACTGTCTGTCTCTTCAGATGCTGACCGTTTGACCTTGCGGAATGCCTTGCCAAGGTCAGAATCTGAGTCATTGAATACCTGGTCAGAGATTTCATTCTCATTCTCTGTCCTCTTGAAGCGATTCTATAAATAAAAATTGAATGTAAGATCAAATAATATCATCTGTTTCCTTATCACTTGATTGGTCAATAAATAAATTGAAATTTTTCAACAAAACAAAAATACAAAAGTACAAAGAACAAATTTGAAAAATTTTTTAAGAAAATCATACAGGTCAATTTAAAGTTTTGTATGTCCGGAGTCCTAATTAATGTCCAGGGTGTGTTTGTTATATGTATGTCCGGAGTCCTAATTAATGTCCAGGGTGTGTTTGTTATATGTATGTCCGGAGTCCTAATTAATGTCCAGGGTGTGTTTGTTATATGTGTTTGTTATGTTCTGAGTGTTTGTTATATGCATGTCCTAATTAATGTCCAGGGTGTGTTTGTTATATGCATGTCCTGAGTCCTAATTAATGTCCAGGGTGTGTTTGTTATATGTATGTCCTGAGTCCTAATTAATGTCCAGGGTGTGTTTGTTATATGCATGTCCTGAGTCCTAATTAATGTCCAGGGTGTGTTTGTTATATGTATGTCCTGAGTCCTAATTAATGTCCAGGGTGTGTTTGTTATATGCATGTCCTGAGTCCTAATTAATGTCCAGGGTGTGTTTGTTATATGTATGTCCGGAGTCCTAATTAATGTCCAGGGTGTGTTTGTTATATGTATGTCCTGAGTCCTAATTAATGTCCAGGGTGTGTTTGTTATATGTATGTCCTGAGTCAAGGGTGTGATATAATTCTAATTTACATTTAATAACAGCAGATATAACACATACCAGAATGGAATGAAGTTGGACCATGGCTTCTGGTTTCTCCTCACTCTCAAACGAGGGCTGTAAATAAAATATTCAAAAGTCTGCAATTTACAAATACATATGTACTGAAGATTACACAGAATGTATCAATGTAGTTAATTCCATATCTAGTATGTGACAGTAGAACAATTTCTTGTACTGAAAAGGAATATTCTAATTTCATTTCGAAAATTCTTCTCTTAAGTTCATTTCAAAATGCTGAATATCCAGGGAAGAAAATTTTCAAACAGGAACGTCATTTTTATCTGGACTTATAAAACAATATCTCAGGTAAGACCCTACAAAATCAGTCACACATTCTCAGAATAAAGATTCTGTTGATAAAACTATAAACATTTTCTTCAGAAAGAAATGTACTGCGACCAAATGAACACACAGTCTTTAACATGTTTTTAAACATAGAAAACCACATACTGTCACCTACATGTACCACAAAAGTATCTATACATACAAAAATCATAATACCCATAGTCAATAATTGGTATATAAAACAGAATATCAAGTTTTGTATTAACAACAAAGAAAAGTGCCATATAACCAAAAGATTGCTTGCATTCAAAGAGCTGTTTATTTAACTTCAACATGGCAGGTTCAAACATGAACATGCTCTTGCTTCAAGTCTGTTTAGTAAGAATCCTGTGTGTTAGTGATGCAGAAAACATCTATGAAATATATAGTTGTCCCAGCATCTACTTTAAATGAAACAGATCAGTAAATAAAAAGTGAGTAAAAGAACAAATAAATAACAGAAAGAGAGAAACTGGTCTTCTATTCCACCATATGTATCCATAATAGAAGGAAAGATAAAAAAAAGAAAATCCACAAAAATGACAATCTTTAGAACCATATCACCATGCAGATGCAACATTCCATACAAGTCTAAAATTAAACAATTGATATCTGTAGGATCAGGCAGAAAGACATCAAGAGGGCATTAATATCTAATCAAGTGATTGAATATCTACCTTTTAATAAACATTCTGTCACTTCTGAATAAATGATTATTTATTGTTTTATTAATTTCCATTGATTTTGATAAAACACATTTTTTATTTTTATGCACACCTGATTAAATGCTGAATTACCTCCCACTTCATGTCAGTAAATCTTTATGATTCTTGAGTTATATTAAATGTTGAGTTACCTCCCTTGACTTTAGTAATAAAACGCTTTCTGACTTGGTATAGACAGGTTTTGTGATACACTACTCTACCTTACTTATTGAGATGTTATCTTCCCTTTGATATCAGCAAAGAGAGGTTTTCTTATACACTCCCATTCTCTTTGACAACATAATGAGTTACCTCCCCTTTTGATGTCAGGTAATGACTAAATGATGAGTTACTTCCCTTTCTATATTAAGTAATGTGACTAAATTATCCATTCCCACTTCATGTATTAGTGAAACAGTTTTCATTGCGATATTTTGTACTTTCAATACAGAAACTTCCACAAAAACAAATAATTTGTTTCCAGCCTTACTAGTAAAATCAATATTCACTTTATGTAGATTTTGACTTTTCAACTGAAAATTCATTAATTATGTAAATAACAAGCTGTGCAACAACTTATTGATAAAAAGCCATGAAAATGTAACTGAAATTTAATAAAGTCAGGCATTAAAATTGCAACCAATGAAATGTCAACTACAAAATATATTAATTCAGCATGAGGCATACTTCAACCAAACACATAAAATAAAATCTAGCCTAAGGCAATACTCATCAGTGCATACTACAGGAGCCTTAAGCATAGTATCACCTACTGAAATTGAAATTAATGTAAAATGAAAGAAAAATGAATAAGAAAAAAGTCGGTTTTCATCCATTACATGCATTATCAATATACAAGAAGTAGTACCACTATTTTGGGATGATCAATGTGAGAGCGAGGCTCAACTTTGTCAGATTGAGGCTCAACTTTGTCAGATTGAGGCTCAACTTTCTCAGAGTGAGGCTCATCTTCATCTTCCTCTTCCTCTGGAATCTGTTTTAAGTGTGAATATGTGTAAAATATATAGATATAATTCATTTGTTTTGTCTATCTACAGATGTCCTGGGTGTAGGGTGACACAAGTAATTTTTTTCTGTTTTTGTAACTTTGACAAGCAAAAAAAAAAAAAAAAACACACAAAATAAACTAAAAACATCCAATCCATATTTCTAGTAATCTCCACAACTACCTTATCAAACGATGTTTTGAGTTTTGATGAAACAATAGAAAAAAAAGATCTACAACAGTTAATGTTTGTGAGTAAAGTTCATGTGTGTATACAGCATGGGAAATTTTTAAAGAATGTGGGAAATAAACAATGTACCCTTTATACTTAATTCAAACTAATACAGATATTTCATGATTTTAAGGACAAAAGTCAAGACCAACTTTCCTGTCACAAAAGACACACATGTGTATATCGTAATTCCTTATTTATAGATATGTTCAATCCTAGCACTCATCAGCAAACCCTCAAAGGAGTTTATAAACATTTCTGCTTTACGTACATCAAAGGATCAAACTCGTCTTATCCACAACCTGTCAAACACAGAACTTTCAATTTTGTGATGAAAAGTTCCATGGGCACAGGGAGCAAATGTGAGTGTAATCCCTGGATTAGTGAGGATGTCAACAGCAAGGGGCTTTTAGTGATGAAACTTATGAGAAGTCAGAGATATATAATTAAGAAAGTTGAATCCCTCCCTCCCTCCCACCACTAATGCTGTCCCTTATATCTACATCAAAACCTTGTGCTGTATGTATATACACCTACCTTTCTACCTCCCACAGGCTTTAAGACTTTTGTGAGCGTTTTGCCTGATTGGATCCTCTTCATCATTTCCTCGAGTGCTTTACCATAATTCTGGTCACCAGCACCTGCGGCTGACTTCACTGCCATGCGAATAAAGAAATAATTTGAAATAAAGCATTGTTAATAAGTTCATATTAATAACACTTTCAGTCTTCTTGTGGTCTGTAGTTGAAGGTTTTAATCAATTATCAGAAAATCAAATAATAGCACTTATACTGAAAATAAATAATCTAGGTATAACATGTTTCATAGTTGTTCTGATATATTGATACAAAAATAAAATTCAGAATGCTGAAAAATTTCCATGGTAATTACACTCCAGTTAAATGAATAAGTAAGTATCAGTCATGAATATAAGTGGGGAAAACCCCTTAGAACCAACATCCACTCTGTGTAGATAAACACAAGTTCATTCACACAGATAATTTCTGTCCTGATAATAGCCTGCCCAGCATGCCAAAGCATGTCAGCAATTTTTTGAAAGCTGGCCTCAGGATTTGCTGTTCTTTCATATATTTTTTTAGTTTGACTGTCAGTTAGTTATACAAAAACAAATTGCACATTATAAGAATAATGGTACTCTACTGAAAGGATGGCATGATTTCCTCAGAATCCCTGTTTTATATTGCTGGATTCAGTTTATACATGGTTCAGTTTACACAAGGTTTAGTTTACACAAGGTTAAGTTTATACAAGGTTTAGTTTACACAAGGTTTAGTTTACACAAGGTTTAGTTTATACAAAGTTTAGTTTATACAAGGTTTAGTGTTTTCTGTATGTACAGTATATCGTACTTTGACTTATCCATATTGTTATACTTACACACTTCTTTCCTCTTCATGCTCTTCTTCCGTACGATCTTGCTTAAAAATCTTTTTAACAAAATGTATGAATCAATTAAAATAAAAAACTTGGTTCCTACTATTTTATTTAGCTGTCAACTTTTTAAAGGCTTTTTAATTCTTTTGTAAAGAAATTGATTATTTGATTGATTAACTTAACAGATTAGAATGAAATTTGGAATAACTTTTAAATGAATATGGAAATATCTTATCTATAGCATACATTAATGCAACGCAGAAATATTACAAGTTTAACACGGCATGATAAACAGGTTAAGTGATTATACCAAGTCTTTATATACAGGTCATACAGCATTTCAATTAATTTCCAGAGTTACCCACCCTTTTCCTTTATCCAAAGATGGTGGTGGTGGTGGAGGGGGAGGCGGTGGGGGAGGAGGATGTTTTGCTAGATCCAGTTCCTTTTCAAGATCTTCATCTGAAAAAGAATATAGAAAAATCAGTAACTGAGGAGGTTGAATACAGTTATCATACTGGTGTTCCTGTCAGGGTTCCAAAATAAACTCCATCATTCTAAAAATATTGACAATCTCAAGTAGAATTTGACTTCACTTTGTCAGAGAATCAAGAGAGCTAGAAGAAAACAGAGATCAAAGATTTTGATACTAAGACTATGTATTTCAATACAAGGACAATATAAACATGACATGCACAAAAAAGGTACTCAAATATGAATAGTAATTAATTTCAATTATTGCTTGGCTTTCCTTCTGTAAATAACGATAGATATATAACTAAAACCCTTCAACCTGTATTTTAAATGAAAATTTGAAAATCTGGTACTTATATCAGTATAGTTTTTTCTAAATTATGTTTAAATTTTCCTGATATATGGAGTGCCACTTACACTCATCTTCTAACTTTTTGTACTGTTTCTCATAGTCCTCCAATTTTTTCATCAGGTCTTTATTTTCCTCCAACAGTTTTTGTTTTTCATCATCACCATCATTCTCGTTTGCTGCCTCCTTCAGTTCCTTTATCTGTATTGTATAAGATACTAAAGTTAAAACATAGATTTGACACAACGAATGTAATTCTGACCTGAAGTCTGCAGTCTATTCCTGTTTTTTAGCCACATTTACTATAGAGCAGATCATATCTGTACTTCCCCTTGAAAGAACACCAGTTAATCACAGGATTACTTCCCATCACCACACATGATCCTTGTTTTGACCCTTTCACCCTTATCTGAACATGACCTAATATTTCACTCTGAGAGGTTGGCAATACTGCATCATCTGGTACCTGTTTATACAGCTTGGTCAATTGTGACATGTTAGAATAATTAAAGAGACATGGTACTTTTTGAAACAATCTTTGACCTGACCACCAGTTAAATTCAGCCAAACATAAAGTACTGGTAGGAACAGAGTAATCATTTTTCATTTGGAGATCTTGGCCTTTCACCTTTAAGAATATGATATTCTCTCTTTCCATACAATATGCAATTAACATCAGTTACCATTTACTAAGATGCAATTTTTTGGAATGACATGTTTTGAGAATTGTCACATTAACTACAGACAGAGGAAAATAAATGTGAATTAGTTGTAAACTTCTTTTCTCTCCCTTTTTTAATTTGCTGGTTAGCTACTTTTTCATTTCTTTATCAATCTTAATCTTTAAGAATGGTGAATGAAAATGCCAAAATAAGAAAGCAAAACCTTTGATGCCTATCATCAGTGAATTATTATAAAAATATAAATTTGAGATCCAATTTCATTATTTTTCAAAAACACATTATCATATGGGCACCTGAATTCGGAAAAAAATTGTATTCATCTGTTGATAAATTACTGATTAAGTAATTGTTATTTGGCTTATCTTTGTTACTGTCCTCAGCAGAAAGAGTCAATTGTAAATGTTTATTATGTACAATTTATTTGCTCAAGACAAATTTTCACATTTTATGTCTATCTTTAACTTTGACTCCTAGATGATGCTAACCTTTTACCTTTACATGGCATTTGCCTTTGACCCAGAACTGACACTAATCTTGTACCTTTAAATGAAAGTAACTTTCGGTCTATAGATGAAACTAACTCTTGACCCCTGAAATGATATGAACATTTTACCATAACCTTTGACCTTAAAATGAACTTAACCTTTGACCACAATCCCCTAGATGAACTCACCTCTGCTAGATACTGCTCCTTCTCTTCCTTAAATTCGTTTGTCAGACTCTCAATCTGCATAGCAGCATCCATCAGTTTCTGGTCACCCATAGCATTGCTCAACAGCATGGTGCTTTGTTTCTTCATCATAACATTGTCAACCTGCATCTGCAAACAGTTATAGGAAAAACATTAGCAACTGACCTTCAAATCCATACATCAATCCTGTTTTTGTACAAATAATGACTTAGAACACAAACTTAATTGTTGACATCTTACAGAACAATATATATTATTTATATCTATAACAGCCAACAATGTTGATTTATTAGAGATGAAGTCTTTCCATATTGATAATACAAGTCCTATGCCAGACAGTATGATTTTTTACTCTTAATATGCCAAGCAACATGATAATTTGTTTTCTACTTAAATCTGAGACTGCCCCTATCAGCATAAGATACGAAAATATATTAAAATCAATTTAGGAATAATTTTCTTTTAAAAATTTTTCATAAGAGAAATAATGCGGATTAAGGTTCATTTGAAAGTTCTAAGTGTTTTCTTGAGAAATTTATGTGCAAAACAAAGACTTCCTATATACACCACACCTAAATATCACAACAAAAATAACATCCACTGAACATTTATTAATAAACAACTAAAGTTTCATGGTTATTTCACTTGGACCATCAAGGATTTTCTAAAGTGTGATTAAAAAAATCATTAATTATCTCCCTTTGACCAGTAAGTCTATTCTTCATCCACCATAAATATAATATTTAAAAGATATTTGTGCATACCAAAGAAATCCAATATTACACAGAAATTCACTATACACAAGTGTCACTTTACCTTTGATGCCTTTTCATGTTCCATATCATATTTGACTTGAAGTGCTGCATATTCCTGGCAGGCCTCCTCAGATACTACAAACATAAACATCTATTAAATAATCAACATATTTCTGTAAATGCAACTGTTTTCTTACCTGAAATATTTTTTTTACTCTAGTTAAAATCAACATTTAATATTAAAAGTGACAAATTATTGCTATCAAACAACCATGTTGACCTGACCATTGTCTCCTTGACATTGACCTTTAAACTCTGAATATCCACCCCTAATTAACATTTTAAGTTTAGTTAGATATCCTCCGCTTCATTAATCTTTTGATTTATGACCTCCTTTACCTGTACCTGTAACCTCTTAACCTTTTTACCTGTGGAGAGTTCCAACATGGCCTCTTGGTACTTGGTGAGCATATTCTGGTTTTCTTTCAGTCTCTTCATGCCATTGTCATGCTGCAATTATTGAATATAAATTGAATTAGTGTTTCTTGCCAGCTCTTTAACTTTATATTTCATGATAAATTCATTTTCTAAAATGATTGTACAGGTATTACAGAAAATCCTCAAAATATGATTTTTGCAATTTTTGCATATTTAATTTATTTGTAATTTCATCGTCTCAAAAATTCAAAGCCTCCTTTTGGAGATTTTTGAATACTTCAGAATGGATATAGGTAACATATATAGCAGTGTAGATTCTTACATCAACCGGAGATCTAACTGACCAGTCTTACTAGATAAGAGATTTACATACTGGCTAGTATTTATTTATCATAGAAATATTCACAACTAAAAAGCGTTTAGGTACATGACGATATGTCAACTTTTTTTGATATATTACTCAAGATTACAATAACAAGAAGAAAACGTGCTTTTGCAATTTTAATACTTTGTGATTTTGAAAGTGTCACGAAATTTGTAAAAAATTAGATACGCACAAAACATTCCCTATATATGGTATAGTCTGTGGTAAAATTAAAATGCGACAATGAAGATAAAAGAGAATGGAGAGTCACACTTTTCTTCAGGGAAAGAGGATCCATGTATGTAACACACTGTTGGGCCTTTAACCTTGTTGACTCCCACTTACCAAGCTACTAAGCAATATGTTTTCCAAATTTTTTTCTGCAAACTTAATTTCACCTCTCAATTAATTTTATATGGAAAGTTTTTTCCAGCCAATAACTTCCAATAAAACATCTTAACCAGAATGCATTTATTGAGGTATATAAACTGTACATAGAATTCAAATGACCATCTGAAATGCTCCGATACCTGTAATTTCACTGTATACAGTTTGTCAAGGTCAACACTCCTGTGACCTTGAGACATGTCAAGGTCATTATCTATCTTACCCTTTCACTCAGTTTTTGATATTTTTCGGCTTCTAACACATTGGTCTGCATTTGCTCCTGCAGGTCAGAGGTCAATTTGGCAACTTTCTCCTCAAGTTCTGTAACATTAGTGGGTGAACGCCACACACAACTTAAAAAGCATTATCTAAGAATTGTAAGATTATTTCCTTTAAATTATTAATTTTTTACGAAAAGTTTGGATGTGTTCCCAATTCTTGTGTAAATTTCTAACACTGATCAAACTATTTTTGTAAAATATCAACTTCGGCATTCATCAACAGATATCATAATTAATTCTAGGTCTGTGTTAAATGATAAAGCTGATAAGTGTATCAGTGTTTGTTTATAAGTGTGTCACTCAATAAAACAATATTCATCATTAAATTTCATTTGAACATGCACAGAAATGTATACCCTTAAAAATCATTTGAGCCATTATGTATGCATGTAAAACATTTTAATTTGCAGTCAACTCAAGAATTCATTGAAGGATAGTTTAAGATACTCATTATACCATCTCGATTTATAATTCCATTTTTATACAACATTCAACAAAATTTTCTTCTTAAGTTTTAGAAGAATATGGAAATGATGTTGTATATAGATAGACGTTCCCTTAAACATGTACAAAACGATGATCTACAACTATATATTTTTACCTTTAATTGTCTGGTTCAGTTCTGCTGTATAATTCTTATAAGAATCAGCATCAGATTTCGTATCCACATCATCAAGCTTCAGGTCACGAATGTCCATTTTGGTCATCGACAGAATCATGTTGGACTGCCGTTTCAGCTCTTTATTCTGAGTGTTAATCTACAAGAACAAAGGATATTTAAGTATGGAAGGGTTTCTATTTATAGTATCACCTCTAAGAAAGAAATACACATTTTTACGACTACGTAGGCTGGATCAAACTCATCATACAGAACATGGAAATATTAAAATGAAATTAAGCATTCACTATAATATAATTTACAACTAGTTTTACAAAATCTGTTACATAGCAGAAAATAAAATATCTTAACCAAGTGATTTGCTTTACTTAATTTTCATGTAATTGTAGAATTTATTCAATTCTAAAAAATAATAAATGCTTCATGAGAAACTAGACCAATGTCGAGGAAGGGCCCCGCATAATACCTACCCCTTATGATTGAGTTTCTTAATATTAAGAAATATTGAAAAATGGTAATAGCAGTATGTAAATAATTGAAAATGGTATGAATTTCATGGCAAGAATTGAAAACAAAAACTGCAGGTACATATGTGAAGACATAGCAATTTTGGTTGTTTTAATGAGTGTTAGGTCAAATATATACATTTGTAATAGACAATGGTGAAAAATGGTTTGAAATGTGATTTTTGAGAATATCTGAATCATATAATGTTCCTGAATATGCTTTATACAAGCATATCAAAGTTATTGTAATTATTACCTAGTACATGAAATCTACAAATATTTGCTTGTGGTCACTGTAGTATGTCCACAACTGTGTCACTTGTGCATGCTGAAGGTCTCTTGTCCAGACATGATCAATATGGGAACCACTCTGGTGAGTTGGAGCAGTTGTAATTTGAGAGAAACCTGCTTTACGTAGAAAGTTAAACGTTGTGTTGGCGGATTTTCTCAGATTTACGTTGAAGTCCCCTCCTATGACACAGGAAGATTGAGTCTTGTGCAAAAAGCAGTTGATGACAGCCTGGACTTCTAAGACTGTTGTCTTTGGGGGGGCAATATAGAAGCAACACTGAACAACTAAATGCGCTGTTTCATTTTGTCAATGTAACTGCTACAGCATCAATGGTAGGAGTATGGTCCATGTGAATCCTCTCCAAGTGAAAGTTTGTTGTTGCACATACAGCTGATCCACCACCATATCCAACTATTCTTCCAGTAGAGAGGACATTTGGGAATCCCATAATGTTTAGATGGTCATGTTCCTGCCAGGTTTCTGTTAATGCCAAAACATCTGATGTATTGATAAAAGGATCGTGCTGTACATCTTTTCTATGTGCTACTCCACGATTGTTAGTGTTAAAGAAGCATATCCTTACTATTTCTGTTTGTGTAGTAGACAGTTTATCAGAAGCAAAGACTGCCATTTTGTTTCTCAGTCTTGCCATTTCTTCAGTAACAGCATCATCTGTCTTAATAGCATCTGCATTAAAGTCCAGAAGAAAGAGACCTTGTAGTGAAGTTATACAGCTGAAAGCAACATATGCTTGACCTTTGGTACGAAGCTTCCTAAATGATATAACAACCTTATCCAGAGTTTGTCCTTGGACCTTATGAATCGTACAGGCCCAACACAGAACGACAGGAAACTGTATGCGAGTGATTTCTGGAGATGATTCAGATCTTCCTGCGTGATCATTCCTTCAGAAGATATTCTCTGTAAAACATTCAGCCAATCAGATTGCAGCAGCCTCATTAAATATGTGTGGAATTCGGCAAACATCGAACTTGAGCGAGAGACTTATGTACCAAGTATCATAAGCAAGTTTCATCGAAATCCCATCATTCCTTCTCAAGATATCGCGTGGAAAGCGAAACCGACAGACATGTAAAACATTCAGCCAATCAGATTGCAGCAGCCTCATTAAATATGCGCGGAATTTGGCGAACATCGAACTTGAGCAAGGGACTTATGTACCAAGTATCACAAGCATGTTTCATCGAAATCCCATCATTCCTTCTCAAGATATCACGCGGAAAGCGAAACCGACAGACATGTAAAACATTCAGCCAATCAGATTGCAGCAGCCTCATTAAATATGCACGGAATTTGGCGAACATCGAACTTGAGCGAGGGACTTATGTACCAAGTATCATAAGCAAGTTTCATCGAAGTTTCATCGAAATCTCATCATTCCTTCTCAAGATATGGTGCGGAAAGCGAAACGGACAGACAGACGGACAGACAGACGGACAGACGGACAAGGTGATTACTATAGGGCACCCGCATCGCGATGCGGGGCCCTAATGAGTTAATTGCTGGATATAAACACCAAGACAATATACCAATATACCTGCATAGTAACAAAAAACACATTTTTGCTCAGAAATGAAATATCATTTACATCCTATCTTCTCTTCTAACCGAATGACCAGGTCTATCATCCCACATTCCAAAAACATCTACAACATACCTGGGTTGCAAAGTTTTCAGCCTTCATTCTGCACTTCATTTCTATTTCAAACTTTATCTTCATCTTTTCATATTCCTGGATAGCAGGCTCAATCACTGAAATCAGTACAAGCGTATATAACATATCCCTTTGCTTTCATCAATTAAAGCTTACAGACTTTTGTTTAAAGTTTTCATATAACCTATTTAGAATGACAACTCTTTCTTTGAAATATCATATGTAATTATTTTCACAATCTTGAATGTTTTCCAGTGTTTACGAACAAGAGAAAAAACAATTTCGGAGTTTTTATCAACAATTTTGTTTCTTTTACAAAAAAAAAACTGCCATAGCTATACTTTCCAGAATATATAAAGTTGATTTTTAAATATTCTTGTTATTAAGCAAAACAAATACAGAAACAGAAATAAAACAATTAATTTGCTTAAATTTTTTTCCCCAATATATTTTAATCAATTAAACTATTGTTAAAACAATTTTCTTGTACCTAATGTCATCCTGTTACTATGGTAACTGTTGTCATGGTCACTAGTGACCTGCCTGTTGTCATGGTAACTAATGGAACCATGTGTAACATAGTGATTATAATATTCAAACTTTTACCTTCACCTGTGACCTTGACCTAAAGTCAGGGGTCTTCTCATCTGACTTCAACTAATTATGTTTCATTTTGTCATTAAATATTTGCCAGTAAAATATTTTAATTCTGACCACGATCTTAAAACTGGAAATATTTATTTGTGAAATATTTTATTGACTTCTCATTTGATTTCATCAATTACATAATAATAAAACATTAAACAGTAACATTCTTATACTTTTTTTGGTGTAAGTTCCGATTTCTGTTTACAGAAAGGGTGCCTTGACCTTTTTACTTCTCAATAAAAAAGCAATTGAGAGTTAGCACTTCTATGAAATAAAAAATCTGAATGTGATCATCCAAACAGAACTGAAGGTACACGTACTTGGCAGAAACCAAATTTTTATTTATAGATACAGTGACCTTGTCCTTTACCTAAAAACCTGTGAATTACTTGCATGGGGTTAAAATTTGAGTGCAATTGGCCAGACAGAACTTGAGCTATTGTGCCAATACAAAAAGAAGGGCAGATGGACAACCTGATAATTCTATATGAAATTTTTCAAAGAAATTCTTATAGGAAGATTCTAACAGAAAATTTACATCTCCGTTGAAACAGATGATCTGTTAACTCACATTTCTTCATTTGTCCCATCTGTTGTTCCCGCTCTTTCAGTCGAGAGGTGACAGTTTTGCACTGAAAATGAACAATCATATTTGTAAGATAATCTTAGTTATATCTTGTCTTTTTAACAATTGCACTCCTTTAAAAACCAGTGTTTGATCTTGTATAATTTTCAACTGGAAACAAATCACTCTGAACCTCTATGTTGACTCTTAGACAATTTATAATTCTTTAAGTCATGAATAAAACACACTTTCAATTTCAAGTCAAACAAAAAGTGGTACATCAATATCATGGAAAAAATTACTGGATACGTCTGTTTTGTCATATTCCTCACAGAATTTCTGCAGTAAGAAGGGATTCATTTATAGTGAAATATGGCAGTGTACCTGTTCCTCTGTTTCTTTGAGTTTCTTATACAGTTCATCATACTGGATCACAACTGTCAACAGAAGCAAAGCAATGACAATAAACATTAGGAAAATTGATAATATCTGTTACCTCTGTGTGGTGTACACAGAAATATCATAAGCTAATATGAGACATTGCCAGGTAATGAACTTTAAAAATCTGACCCCCAGGATTGAGATTTCACCATAATCTGCAGTTGTCTGTACGTAATTTCTTAGTTGTATCTTCACATGCTCAATTGTTCTTTTGATGGAAATGTCAGTTTGAAGGTAAAGGCAATCTCCATGTACAGTAGCTGTGTGGTTCCATCAACTTTATAAAAATCAAGTGGGGACCCTATCACATGCTATCCATAGCAGGTAAAGTGTCTTGCAAAAGTGAAAAAGCAACAGCAGCACATGACAGTCCGAGATCTCATCTTTCTAAGAGACACAAATCACCCTGGGTAGGGATCCGTAAGACTGTACACCTCGGACTTCTGTTGAGGAGCTACCAAGTACAGCCTCTCAATTAAGATGCAAAACAGAGATGATGAAAAAGGCAAGTTAACTCACAAGACTGTCAAAAGTTATGTTCTAATCATAATAATTCAACATACCAATCACGTATTTTCACAAAAGATCAGAGCAATGATGATGAATTAATAATAAATAAAAGATGTTTGTGTTTGTTGTTTACTTAATGTTTCTGTTCATTACCATGACTTCAGAATGAAAGAATCCAATAGATTCTACCTATTATCAATCAAAACTAAAAAAAATAAAAACATACAAAATATATTCTACCTCATTTCTTTTTTTTTTTAACAAGGAAAACCAATAAGAACATTTACAAACAAATACTGCTTTTGGTCAAAAAATTGAAAGATAATTTATTGATAAAGTTGAAGTGGGTACAAATAAATCATTATCAACACTGAGAACTACTCCTTCCTTAGACACAACGCTATTTCTTACATAATTCAATCACCTAACAGTAAACAGTGTATAGGATATCAAGACTAAACTGTGTCCCAGTTTAACTGGCATATGTCCAAGCAGTTTCGTTTTTTGCAATGATCATCATCTCTGTTTATATATTTGGAATTTTATTGGAGTTGTCTCCCCTTCAATATTAAGGAGTGAGTTGTGGAGTGGTTTGTTATAGGGGTCAAGTCCACACTGACATATTTCAAAAACTTGCATGGGAAAATATTGCTCAATAATTTAACTTTTTAAAGGAAATTGTAGTGCCAGTATAATAATATCTTTATTACCCAAGTCAAATGTTATCAGAATATCCCTTAAAAATTCCATATATCATATGTTCTGAACTGGAGTTGTCAATGGATGTGTAAGTGAACAAAAACCTTCACATGAAATTACAGGTATTTCATGAGTTCACATCAAAGTAAAACCTTCAAATCAATGCTTAGTATCGATTAAATTTATTTTAAACAGTTTCTTTTTTCCTGTGCAGATTTTGAAGTGAGTTGATTTTCGAACTTTTTTTCTTTGAAAAACACACTTTATCCTTAAATTATTTAACTCACAAAATTATTGGAGTAAAAAACTACAAGACATCATAGAGCAGTTTTTATCCAGTATCTTTCAAAGTGCCTTCTGGAAAAAACTCTAAAAATGCAAAAAGTTATGTAACCTTAAACAGAAAATTATGCATGTGTCTGTTATTTCTGTAACAATTTAAGAGAGCAGTTTGTCTTCAGTTTATATATCAAGATTTCAATATTTAATAGCTGACTTTCATGTTTGTGCTACATATCTTATTTCTCTACTCTCCTTAGTCAAAAGTGTGTAATACTTCCTTGTCAAACTGTCAAAAAGTCTTAGATAAATATGCTTCTTCTGAACAAATGTCCCCAAACAAATAACTTTGTGCTGTTGTTTCCTGTTCAACACACCAAGGACATTTATGGTGAAATAAAAATCTGACCCTTTTCCTCTGAGGGGAGTGCAAATTGCCATTAGGACATAGGATAAAATGCATCTCCCCACCCCAAGGAACATGACACCCTTGCCCCCAGGGATCACTACCATGTCAGATAATTTTAGTGTGAAGTGTTTGGAGATAAAGATAAGTGGTTACAATTGGCGTCAAACAACTTATACTAAAGATATGATACTGATAAATGCAGAAGGTGTGACAACACCTACAGATTGTTAACTGAATGTCATCTATATCGTGATGATTTATCAAAAAAAATATACAAATACAATAACTTCCTTTTAAAAAACGATATAACAACACCAATTTAAATCCATATATCTTATATCAGTTGTTTTTGTATAAAGGATCAAATATGATCTGTTTATTTTGTTTTATATAAATAAAGAAACAAATTGTTTACTGTAATATCCTGTCACATTTGTCCGAAAACCAAAAATTCTTTATTTCTGATTTTCAACAAGTGTATTGACAACCGAAACTATATAAGCTTATAAGGCTCCTGACATTTAACAAAGATATGTAATTTCGGAAAATGTTCTTAACGTTGGTAATGTCAATAAAATAGAAGTTCTTATCACACTACCAATAGAAGATTAGAGTGTGATGTTTCTATGACAACACGGTCATCTTCATCTGACAAATTACCATTGTGAAGCATAAAAACACTGATATATATAGTGTACAATACTGTAAACAATCGACGGACTTCTTCGTCTGTACTATAATCTTATGCTAACTAAGGTAGAAAATAGTGTGATGAGATGGTTAAAATGATTATAGATAAAAGATACAGTAGACAGTCTATGCCATATGCTTCACGCTAGTCATTTGTCTGATGAAGATGACTGGGTAGCCATTGAAACACCACACTCTGTCTATAAATGTCTGTAATGGCCACATGTTCATGGTGATCATCTGTGGGCTTTCTGTAGGAGTGTAAAACCTGTTTATAAAAAGCACCTATCTTTTGTCATTATTTGTCAATAGCAATATCTTACACCTACATGTCTATAACAATCATTTGCTACTGTTAATACCTGTATTGACTGCTCACTGTTGTCACCTGTCTATTACAACCACTGCCTTTCTATAATGACCACATGTCTCTAACAACCTTTGGTTCCTTGTAAATACCTGTAGATTGTCTATTTCACCTGTCTATTACAATCACTGAATTTCTATAAGACCAACCTGTCTATAACAACCAACAATTCCTTGTTAATACATGTAGACTCTAAAGTTAACTTCTTTTTTAAATGCACGGTCTGTATGTAACTGGTTTCTTGTTAAATAGTTAAACAGTGGCGTTTATAACATATGTAATATATGTCTCTATTTAAAGTGAAGATAAGTTGTCATTGATGTACATTGAATTCATAGACGTAAAGTACTGAGTTACTTTTATCAACTAAGAGGGACACATAAATCTCGCCTATCTTTAAACAATTTGTGAGTCATTTTATACATATGTCGAAAACCATTATGATGTGATGCTTTGACAAATAGAACCGTCAACACTTGTCAAGTCATTTCCTGGCCTGGTAAGGCGAGGGGCATTGGAATACGCTAAAACAAAACAATAATAGAGCAATTAAATTACCTTTGGCGGACAGTTCTTTCAGATGTTTATAGTGAAAACACTGGGGACAGCTCGCGTCGGCCATGTTCAGCAATCACCTCATACACACGGAAATAATATGATACCTTGGCTAAATATTTAGGTCCGTTGACGGCGGCAATTCCTGTTCGGTGTCTTCTGGAAACATAGATAAACGATTACATTCGATCTATAATGAGTTAGTTTTACTATTAATTAAGTAAATAAAATCCTATTGGCAAATTACTCACCAGTGGCAAAAGTATTCTCCTGTGCGAGGAAAGTGTCAACCCGGAAGTATGCCGAATTTTCACCAATACACATTGGGCCGCTGTCTATTTATAGAACTTTTGTGACAGCAGGCAGCTCATGGACTTGAAACTCTTACGAAATATAGGCCTAGTTATCGTTCTCTGGTCGCAGGAATGAATTCAATTTAAGTCAACATTTTACTATAGTTAACACATTATAGATGTCTTATATCCTGATACAGTTGCAAAATAACTTGTAAGTATATAGTCTTATTCAAGAAGATACGAAAGATTGTAGATTTGTTTTTAAAATCCCGACACAGAAAAGTATAGGCCGTCGCTTTTCCTCGTTGACTCTGATATATATCTGCATATTCTAATTTATATCTTGTCATTGTTGTCAGCAACAACAATTAACACTTTCTTTCGGATTGTTAAACCTTCGGACTATTGGGGCTCCGGACTTTGTATTTCAGTCCGATCTGGTATATTTACTTTTTTCGCATATTCTTGATTGTATAAGTAATTTCCGAACTGTTCACTGTCGCTCTACTGAAAAAATCTCGACCATTCCCACACTAAACATGGACTTTTCTTAAGTACAATACATAAGTTTCTGACATACCATGTTTATTTTGCTGTGATATTTGATCTTGACGATTCCGAGCGAGATCAAAGTGGAAAATTGTCTACATTGTTGCTCTGAAACCATATTCAACAAAGTAAACAAAGTATTACAATTTATCACGAATGGTGACGCTGCAAATAGCGAGTAGTTATCGGATTTCTTAATGAAAGAAATGTTCCAGTAACACTTTTAGTCGATTAAAAACTCTTTCCTGTACAAAGTGAATCCCGAGATGTTTCAGGATGAATTCTGCGAGAATGACATGAAGTCAGAAATTTCAACAATTGAAAGTTTCACGCGCGACATCTTGTGGACAAGACGAAAATACTAGTTAGACCCTTTGATGTACATCAAACGAATCTCGGGGTCGTATAACGGTATATTATAATTTCGAAAGAAGCATATTAGCCTGTGATTGGTCAGATCTTTTCTCCTGGAACCAATAATATTGTGTTCAGTTTTGCCTTGACGTGTTGCCGGGGTGCCGAGAGCGAAAGTGGTTGTAACCCCTGTAGCAACGAGGATGATCATAAATGAACGCGTATTTTAATACATATAAAATAACAAATGTATTCAACTCTCCGTTATAGGATATGTTATCAGTTAGTCCAAGGACATGTTTGTACATTATATAATCATTCTGTTATATTTTCTCGATATCGCGGGTAAACAACTAATATTTGCTTTGCATAAATGATAACATAGGTGTTTCTAAATAGACAGATGTGCATAAATGGATAGGTGCATCCTAGAATATCTTATAAATTGTGAGTAGACTTGGTCACGAAGAACTTCCTGCACGAAATAGCCGGCTCTCTTTCTCTTTTTAATTTGTAATGTGTGCAAAGTCCTTGAAAGGAAATGATTTATCGTATATTACTATAACTGATATATCGTGATAACCTCCGTACATATAAAACGAGACAGATATCCATCCGGTACTCAAGAAATAGCGACAACAAACTTTAATGGTCAAAATCCAAGATGGCCGCTTGTCATCCATTTTTTACTGACTAGACCTAAAATCAAAAGGGACAATAGGAAACCATCTTGTTAAATTCAAGAAAGGTCCATGGAGTTTTTAATTACAGTTCATGAAGATAGTTGAAAATGCTTGGATTTTAAAGGCAATGTTCCAATGTATAAAAAATTAATGAAATTTAAAATAGTGATTCAAAACAACTGAGTTTTTTTTACATTAAGTTTTCATTGAATTATTTGCCATTAAACAAGGATTTTAAAACGTTGCATAGTCTGGAATGTAGACACAAATATGAAGGCTTGTTCTGATCGGTAGTGGTGGGACCGAGAGTGGTAATATCCACAGCGAACTCGCTGCGACACCATGTGATCTTGTCGGAAACTGCGCCTGCCCCGGTTTTACGTGTCGTAGTAAATTATGGCCGGTTTTATTAAAGGAGGCATGTAATTTTCTTTATATGGAATCACACAAATAAAACACTAAGCTCAAATGGCTTGTATTTACAAAACAAAAGTTATATTTGAATTGGGGTTTGAATATGTGTAGGTGAGGCAGTCGCCCAGCGAAATTGCTCCTTTGTCTACCATTAAGTAAAGAGTTGACGATTAGGCTCATCAAACTTTAATTCGCTATACATCACGAGTAAATGCGATATCTGTAGACACATTGAAGAAAAAAGTTACACTGCAGTTCTATCTTACAAAATTCTTAACAAATAACAGAAGAATAATGATAAGTTCATAACGACTGTCTGCGCAGATTTAGCACAATAGGATCTTGAGATATAACAATATTGACAGACGTTACAGGTTTGTCTACATTGTGATGTTTTTTTTTATTTAGCAGACGAGTTTTGTGATTTGCTTGTTTGTCAACGTTTTATGGGTTTAAGGAACATGTTCAAGAAATTTTTGGTATAGACCTCCAGTTTTTTTAAGTTACTGAACTTCTATGTACCACGCTAAGAACTGAATTTTTAAGGTAACTATTGAAGTGAACTCCAAACGCAGAATCGTACAGATAAACATTCTATATAACTGCTCCCGTATATTGTCCGTCTTCGCTGTTTGATTCCGATTCTGACGTCTGATTCTGTCTTATCGTCCCTAATTTCGTCCACCCGTTTGTCATCTGACAAGTAAACCCTACTTTTAGTTCATTCATTTTCTCTTAAAATTGGTTCACTGTACAGTATAGAATCAAAAGTCCTAAAAAATCAGGCGATCATACATGCATCATGTGAATTATGTAAGCTTATTTATATCGTTTAAGTTATGTCAGATTTCACCAATACATTGTAATCTCCGCCATATACTGTGTTAACATGATGCAATATGTACTGTACATGTATACATACATCCATGTACTGATGGGCTGTAAGGTCTACTCAATAAAATGAATGAATAGTTTTTACAATTAATTTGTGTTTATTTTAATTGGCTTGATTCAAAGCCAATTATATTTTTACTGGGTCTTCGGGTAAGAGTATATTGTAAAATGAAGCTTCACGGATTTGTTTGATCGCCGGTAGTTATATCGATAGAATCCGTGACCTCTTTTCCGGAATAAGGTTTAAGTTTTGTTCTTCCATCAATGACGACTGCCTAGGACGTCCTGTACTGCAATACCTTCGTCGTAACGGTGTTAATACACTGGTATTGTATTTGTACATATCAATAGGAGGGCTCTCTCAAAATAGCATTTATAAAAAAAAAAAACAATTTAGCCATTTTATACTTTACGTGTGCATGTAGAGAGCGTCAATAATATCCTTGCGACTTGTACCCATCATTTGTTTATTTCTACAATAAAATAGGTTTCCGAAATTCATATTTGATGTAGAAATTTGCGTCGCAATAGTGTTTCTAGACTCTTTTGGTATGAAAGTCCGTCGTCATGGTAATGGTTGGAGATGTCACCTTCCACAAGATGACAGATGGGTTAAAGTTTCATCGTACAGGATGTTGACGAGAGACATTACTTTTTTATTCTCGTCCTGCCCCCGTTAACAAATCGTCAGTCTTCCACCGACAACAATGAAGTCCATACCCGTATTTTAGATATGAAACACGAGATTTTCTTAATTGTGATGCGCAACAGTTTTGGAATGATTACTTTGATAAAGGGTAGCATGCACTGCACGAAAATCCAGTGTTCCATGCAATAAAAGACAAAGATTATTGTGAAAGTCTAAATGATTTTATTATGTGAACCGATTCCAATATAATATATTCAGCACTAGATCGAATGTTGGAAAAAATCTAAACTACTATAAAAAGTCTACTCTATGTGCAGAACACTTGTGTATATACAAAATATTGATCTTTGACGGCCTTGACGAGAGATTAATTCGAATACCATTACATACCGACGTCCGTTTCAATTGTGTTTATATCAATGTGTACAAGGTAAAATCTCTTACAAAATTACCAGTGACAAATATATTTCATTTTTGACACACGTTTGAAATAAGAAACTAAACGTTCAAAATTACATTTCAAATATCTCTATTCAAATATTTCATATAGTCCGAATGTTTTAGCTACAAGATTTTTTGACAAATCTTAAGTCTTACTTTTCTCTAAAATTTTGGGAATGTGAATAAGTTAGTAATCAAACAGTTTAAACGATTAGTTTACAAAATTGATTTATGTACATTTTTTTTTCAATTTTGCTCTACATTATAGCACATAAAATTTCATAAATTTAAAAAAAACTATGTTATAAATAGTTGTTTCTAAGATAAATTACAAATTCTACACAAATGAAAATCAAAATTGTTGTAAAATCAACATTTCTAAAACAAAATTACTATATTACAAAAATTCATATACATAAAGGCGACAGATAAGAGATGTATATATAAAAGTTTTGATCGTTGTCGCACGTCTCTAGTAATTCAGCCTAAAAAAAGTCATGGAATTGCACAAGAGTTCGAATTCTTATCCACACCACACGAATCCGATCTTTTTTATAGTTGGTTCACATTTATACTTTAAGAGTCGGACTTGTCCGATCGCAAGGAGATCCTTAATCCGCTTCTTGGTCGAACTTAGATGGAATGTAAGGTTTTTGTCCACATCGCAACATCACACATGCAAGTCACACTTAGTATCGTCGGCAGTTCACATATGGGCAAGTTATTGTTTACAGCTTCAACGGCACGTTTTCAATTTATAGTCCACTAATTAAGAGCTCATTTCCGACTGCATTCTGCGTCGCTTACAGGTGCTGCTCCTAACAGTGCTCAACAGTGATGACAAACAAGGTGTAGAATTGTCAGTTTCCTCGTTTTTTGGGCAGTACTTTATGGTGTGCGCTCCGTCGCCATTTACCCCACACAGCGGACAGGTGTATTTCCGCAAGATGGGGCAGCTGACTTTGCCCTCGGTATCCTTCAAAACATGGCTTGTATATACAGAGGATGTCTCGCCATTGTTCTTGCAGAAAACGCACACTTTCTTGGCCTTAGCCCGACGAGCAGCCTTCTTCTTTTCTTTAAATGCCAGGACTTGTAAAACGATTGGATTACTCTCTCTCTGTATCGCCATCTTTTCCTTCGCAGACTGGTGACGCAACTGCACCTGGTAACTATCTAAATCGTCCAAATCTAATTCTCGGCCATTGTGACGGAATTCGTCCATTGAGTCAATTCGGATACTGTCCAAATGTTCCATGGAAGTTGAACCAACATCCCTATCCAAAAATGACCAGCCGAAACTCCAACAGTTTAAGTTGCTGTTGCTGCCGTCGCAGTCAGTATTATCGTCCTGACACGTAATTGGTGTCATCAAATTGTTCAGATTTGTCAACAAATCCTTGTTCCATGTAATGTCACTTAGGCCAAAGTAATCCTGGAAAGGCGCATACTGGTTTAGATTTTCCATGTTTGAAGAACTGAAATCTTGAGCGAGCGCTGTGTTGTTGTCGTGAAAAGGCGAGATAAAATAAACGTGTTCCTCGTGCCGTAAAAAAATCTAATTTATCTACAAGTGGGCGGGGTTACTGAGCATTAATGTTTCCGCCATTCCGCCAATCGCGCATGACCATAATACTAATTGGTACTGATTGATCGTGCTCGCCATCTGATTGGCTGAAATGGAACGAAGTACACTCACGCTGTCTGCATGGGGACATTGGTCAGTTAAGTTTGATGAAAGAATTTTCAAAAAAGCATTCTAATTTTTTAATCACATTTTACGAATTTGAATTTGAATGATTTTTTTAAAACTTTGATGCCAAAATTTAAGTCGGTTTTCAATCGTGCTTAACCCATCAGGGACTTGTGTTTAAGGTAAAAAAATCCATACAATTTGTTATAGTTTTAAATAATGTAAAGGAGATTCTTTTGTTTATTCCGAAAGAAATATTTGATGGGGATATGGAAATAGAGCGTGAGATCTACGCTGTTTTGAAGAGAAAGCAGATTGACAGTTGGTTATATTTTATTTAAAACAATTAACCTTCGTCGCATTAAATCCAATTACCAATCCAGTTAACTGGCCATAGATGCTGACATCGTGACGAAATATAGAATCTGACTAATTCAACGTGCTCGATATTTCGCCCTGTCAGTCACCAAAGGCATGACCCAACCTTTCAGGTCCTTGATGATGCCCTGTCAGACGCCCTTTAACTTGCTGGCTTGTTGACTGCCCGCTGAGAGGATATACCATAAATTACAATACCCTCTCCAGTCTCTCCCTCCAGGTACGGAGACTTGGAAGTGACAATTGATTAGTAAAATTATCCCGTCGATTAGTTCATCCATGTTTTGCACGATGCTTTTCATTCTTCATTTTAAAAAGAAAATTTGATAAAAGATTGTGTTCATTGCCAATATTTATTATCTCGATCTCTATGTAGGTCACTCTGGACCTATCAATTTTGACATGATATTCAATATTTCTGCTTTCTAAAAAGGAATGATCGAAATCTGAGTTTAGTTTTATAAACCGTTCTCTGTCTGTTTTAAGCCTAAACACTTTTAAGGAAACAATGGTCTGTTGCACCATACAATCATATACGAGATGTATTTTAGTGGTTTCGTAGATTTTTATGTTTCGTCAATTTATAAAGTTGATTTGCATGTCATATGATCATATATGGCCAGAATTGCACAAAGTAAGTTAATATATAATGACTTTTAAAAACAACTATTATGATACAGTGAAATATATTAATATTGACACCGGCGATTTTTTTTTTATTAGACACATGTGCGCGTGATTCCGTGATATTATGCAGATTCAGGGGACGTAATGTTTGTTGCTGCTAAAGAAATAAATAAAAACTAGTGTTATTCATAATGTTCCATCTTTGTGGGACCAACTTATGTTCCTCTTTTCTAAATTATTAAATCAGACAGTTTCATAACTTTTAAACATAAACAACACATCTAGGATGCAATTTACCAAACACTTATGGCAGTTTTGATGTTCCGTACATAAATTCCGTTGCAGGTGGTTTTCCCTTGAACATGATTACAGAGCGTTGTAACTCGAGAACGACAGACCTCGATAAAAACAGAGTTACAATTCGCGACATGACAGAATTAATTGCTCTGAACATAATCAAATACTAATTGTTGTTTATTTGTTTTGGATTCTAACATATTGTCCGGAATCTTAATATCAACAATATAAATGTCCCGTTAAGCATATATAAAGTTTACGCGTATTGTAATCTTCATTTAAACCTATCACTACACGCTATCTTAGACAAATTATGCCAGTCATCACCATCATCATCATCATCATCATCGCGTATTTCCGAAAGAAATCCAAGAAATGAAAATTTCGTGACTTTTTTTATAAACGTTATCGCGTCACGACATCTGTAAAGAGAAAGAGAGAGAGAGAGAGAGAGAGAGAGAGAGAGAGAGAGAGAGAGAGAGAAAACAGGGAGAGTGAGCTCGCGCGATTGAAATGCAAAAATTTTAATCGAAATTTTAAATAATTTACGTTCAAATGTTCGTAAGTTATAATATTAATTTGCTGGAACTACTTTTATATACTTTATAATCATTATCGTAAACAAATACTGAAATAGGAATTTTTTTATTTATTTATTTATTTTTTTTACATTAACATGAAACAGCTGGTCTTTACGGCTTGGGTAAGTATCAGAGAAGAGGAAACCCTCAAAGTTGATTTAAGATTTACTCAAATCTTCGCATCTATCGAAATTAGGGTATATACACTCATAATCTATTCATAGGACAAAATAAACATCCTCACACAGATGGACTCGTCGCGTGAGCACGCCAGACAAGGTTAATGTTTATCACCTATAAGACAAAGTACTGTTCCGACGTAGTTAAAACATTTTCACTAAATTCTGTCGCTAAAACAACAAATATTTCTACCGCCCGCCACATTGTCTGCTCAAATTAATGATGGCGTAATCAATTACCTACTGTAATTAAGAAACAAAACGGAAAGCGTACATTCCACAGTTATTTTTTCACTTTTATTTTAAAAGTTTAACATTTCTTATCGTTGTCATTTCTATTTATGCTTCTCTGGTCGACTATATATAGTGATGTTTGATGACTTCGATATCGAAATATGTTTTCGACAAAAAAAAAGATGCATCATCAAACTGTGTTGTGCCATTTTTCATGTATGCACTATTTTAATTAATTCATTCACACTTTCTCATTATTTTGTAATAATTTCCAAACACCCCCTCCACTTCTTTTTTATCAATGCCACCATCAAATCGCAGGCAAAAAACCGATAAATTACGTCAAAAAACAGACATACAACTTTATATCTTAGCAACGGTAATTATTTTGAACAGACAATTAAATTGAAACATTTGTGTCGGGTCTTCGCAAATAATTGTTTTAGCACGAAATGTCCTCGTGCCATATTCATTTTTTCTTCTTTTTTTAACATATTTTACTGTACAAGTTGAACTGTAAAATATCAGACATTGCCGGTATCAGTGTTGTCCTATGAAAGTCATCTCGGTTGATTTTACTCCTTGTAGTTAATTATCACACGGTGTAGGTACTAACATCTAGCAGGTAAGAGGTTTCACACTTTTACTTAGATGAATGTGATCAAGGTTCCCTATTTTCTTATTTTCATCAAGTCATTTGATATTTTCATTTTATTTCCTTCCACACGTAAATCAAGTTTCTTACGTGAGATATTATTTCCGTGTAATTATGACTGAAAGACAATGGATTTGCTTATTTGTGTGCAATTCTGTTCCTGTTAAAGACCATACAAAAAAGGGGATATTAAATAGTACGTTCAATCTAAATTTCAAAACACTTCATTGTACATAGTCAACCTATAATGAATAAGACAGGTGATCTCTTTATCAGCTTTATATATATATATATATATATATATATAAAACCCACGTTGTTCCAGAACAAATTATATAATAAGTCAAATGTAGATCAAAATTAGAAATAAGGATAACACATCATTTGTCAATGGATTAAACTTTTCAATATTTTTCTGCTTTCAATGATATTAGAGTGGAACACTGTTTATCGTATTCCTTTGTCGATAGCCTATCCAGCAATATTTCTGGGAATGACCAAAACAAACATCCTGGTCACTTTTACACGTGTGTAATCATATAAGCTTAATTGAATGTTCTATAATAAAGACTACTTTTTATGTTTGATTACGTCGAGTACCTGTTGTGGGCAGGTGTCATTATCACAGGTGAAGCTAAATCACCGATTACAGATTTATAACAGGTGTGTTACCCTCGGCCAGACATCACGGCTCAATTACTGTCAATATCTAAAGATATGTTGATTTAGTGATTTATATTACCAACAACCCGTGGGAGGGGTAATCATTTGAGTACCATGGACGGGAAGAGGAGAGAATTTGGGGGGGGGGGGGGGTATTAGCCGACCGGTATTTCGCGGACATATTTGTTATTTATTAATATTATTGGCATTTGAATTCAAATATATTTTCAATTTTGTAAAAGTGAACGAATGTTACTCTATCGGATATTTTATTTAGAGTACAATACTTGTGACAATCCTTACAACGTTTCAGCTGTCTCTTTGACACGGTTAACTGGGTCGCCTCTGATCGCCTCATGATCAAAAATATTACGGCTTTTCCGCCTTCTCTCCCCGTCACCGTCAAGTGACAGCGGCTAACCGAAACGTTGAAACATAAAAGGAGAACATAAAGATTAGTTTATATGTTTCCGGAAATACATTTTTATACTAATTTATCCAAATAAATCTATGGACCGTGTTTGGTTTTACATACAAGTCTGAAGGCTTAAACTGAAGGTTTTCAACTCACAAATATCAAATGTGAAACATAGTTATAATCTCTAGTGTTATTTCAGGTTCTTAGTTTTCAATAGCTAAACATTTAACTTCTGATTAAATAACAGTATTTCTGCACTTTAGCCGAATTTTCGTGCTATCTTTTGTGTTTTCATATTTAATTGAAACAGTATCTACGACAATTGTGTACTTCATCATGTGCATGTTGAATGTGGTATTATTCATTTGAACCATTTTATATCAATATTTACATGATTCTTTGTGCTAAAATGAATGTGCCAGCGACTCAACGGAGTAGACAGTAACAGCTTGTCAATATTTTGAATTTCCTCTGAAGTCCCCTGCGTTCTACTGAAATGATCACTCAATTGAAAAACACATTCAGTTTTTGACAATTTATATACCGATGTTTACCAAATAAATAAGTTGCAAAATGCACTGAAATGTTGGACGTTGTTCAGATACAACTATCAACAAGATATATGTAACATATAAAACACAGGAGCTAGGAAATATGTTAAAATTGGAAATTCCTACCGCTTTCAATTTTCAGATATTGTACAATGAACATAAGCCATGGGTTAGTATTACGTAAATTCCAATGCTCGTGGTAGCAGTCTTACATAGATAATGATTCTCAATATTTCTGTGACAAGACCTCCGTTGCAGAACACTGCATGATATGTCATAGGGATTATTAGATTTGGAGGACAGAATTTCGGTACAGTTGTACAGCGAGTTTCGTCGCCTCCATCTTGATATGTCTCCTCCGGACCACGAACAGTACTGCACGTAGTAGACGGCCGATGACTAATATTAATACCAGTTGAATAATGCCTTTATTGTTGTTGTGTGTCTGTTATCTCGAATCCAATATCTCGTGTTAGAGATAAACTCTCTTCTCCACGTGCTTTAGGTACATCCAGGGACGTATGATATAAGTCCCTGGTACACTAGATAGATATAGAGGTAGATATGATTTATCTTTGTCATTTAAACGTACAGTTTCTGCTTATGACCTTATACATAATAAGATGGCGGAGTTCAGAAATTATATCTGCATTGTGGTACTTTTTTGCGTTGTTTCCCGCACGTGTAACGCGCAGGCTGTGAATGCATGCCCAAGTTACGCGTGCAATCCACGTGGGTCATATTCTTACACGCTCAGTTACCCCAACTCATCTCAGAATGCTTACATTGCATGGAAGTCGAACTTTTCCATTGGACCTCTACCGAACACCCTGGGCTGTGTAGGTAACCCGAACAACATCGTGTGTCAGTCAAATGGACTCAAGAACGTGTACGTATAATTTTTCTTCGTGTTGGTATTACCATCGAAATCCATTACCAAACTTTTTTCCCCTCTTCTAAATCCGGTCAAATGAATATCGAAAAAAAGAAGACTAAAATAATGCAAGATATTCAAAAGATACAGCTACTAGTTTATTGAACTAATAGATAAGTTAATCTTTTCTGATTTCGAATATAAAGGTTCATCATTGATTTATATAGTTGATTTTCTATGTCATGGTCTCAAACAAAAAGTTTTTTCTTCCACGTTATTTTCTGTGGTCACAATGTATGTATGACAAAGTTAGAGTAAAAATATCAGGGAGGTACCACTTTTTTAATCCACTTATTTCCTCCAACGAAGAGCTATATAATAACCGGAAAAGTAAGCATATTCTGCTTCATCGACTACACCCGCCATGTAAACCTTGGTCAATCCAAGTAAGTATTGTCACGTTCTGTAATGAGAACAAGGTATACAACAACGTAACCAGCAGACGCACTAACGAGCATCAAACACGTCCAGCTTCATGTCACACAATGAAATAGAATATTTCTCAATGAGATCACTATGGCGACCATAAAACTTCCCATAATTTTCATCAACCTTCATCTTTTGAATCTATTCCAAGCTCTTCGAGTTCAAATGATGATAAATCATAACTGAAAATACCTCCGAGAAGAATGTGTATTAACTGGTATTTAGACCGTGTAGTAGACTGTAAATCTATATCATTTACTGCACGCATCAGAGCTTGTTCAAGTACACTTTGAACGATGGGAGACGCAGGTAAGTAGTTTCCCTATCGCCTATTTCAACGATTAGGTAAACAATTTTCTTAAAATAAAAATTAAACATAAATCTTGTTACAACTACAACCGTGACAACATAGGACTGTTTGGTTGAAGGTTTCCATCGTTTTTATTTATTTTTATTTTTTTTTTTTTTGCGTCATATGTAAATGACGTCACCAAAGAAAGACCTGTGGAGTGAGAATAACGTTAATAGGTATTATACCAGCCAAAAAAAAAAAAAAAAACCGCAGTTTTCATGAATGTTAGCAAATTGGTGCCAACCAATGTGATAGACAGAATCGAGGGCTAAGCATTCTCCGACAGAACCTTTACATTCGATTTCTTTTTACCAAGGTTACATAACGGGTGTCGTTGATGAAGCAGAAGACGCTTACTTTTCGTGAACACCTGGTCTTACTCTCCTCGTTCTTTTTCAGGAGCATCCATGTAATCTTACGTTTATTTATATTTTGCCCCAGTTGTATGGAATTGGAGTTTGGATTATGATTATGTTGCCTTGTTTGTATTTTCTTGGTGTTTTTTATATGAGATTTATGAAACTCGTCACAAATGTCCATTATATTTTACCAAAGTGTTGGTAAAACAAAAAACCTGGTTCGAAATGGGAAGCACGTGCACGGCCCGTTACGTAATGAGATTGACACAGGTATACATATCAATCTGTGTCGCCATCAATACCAGTCTCTTACAGAGATAAAAGATGTTAGATAAACCTCTATCCTGTGTACAAAATGTAAATAATGGTTTGAGATTTAAAGTGATAAGATAAGGTAAAGATGTCTAAAATAAAACATTTAACATAACTTTATTATTCTAACACTATTCTGGCGTTATCAGTATCAGACGGTGCAGCTACAACCTCGATAGCCGAGACAAAGTCTTTACGTTATTCAAAGATAATAATAAACAAAAACGGATTAATCTACAGATATTTTGAAACTGGATGTACACGTGATCGTTATAATCAGAACTATACTAAGCAAAATACACGTTATTTAAAAAAATCGAGGCGACGAGACCAGAAGAGATAACCGAAAACATATTTTGTCTCGTGACGTCACCATTGTTCATTGACGACATGCAATTGCGACGTCAAAGTTAGTCACATGTACTAGTACGTGTATGTAATACTACTTTGTAGGCGATGTCGTTTTGAAAAATGTAGTAGAAAGTAACAGGTGAAGTCACATACATATACCGTGGCCCAAGAAATATCTAAAAAGCCAACCATTCTGATCTCCCAGAGTTATTGACCTTCATTTTTACTCCGACAGCCGACGGGGACCGAGAATGCCAATCCATGAGAAAAAAAATAAAACATTGATACATTCTGTTGCAGGTTCATGTATACATAAGTCTGATCTTCATTTCTAATATATTTAATGCGACGTCACAGTGTGATTACGTCATGAGTTAACGCCGAAATAATATAGCCAATGACGTAAATCAGTGAGTTAGATCGTTGTCGCCTTTTCATAAGTAGCATTACACGGTAAATATCTATATAGCTATTATCAGTGTTGCGCTGTAATCATCCAATCTTCGTGTCAACACCGTCGTAACAAATACAAGGCGAAGGTCATATTAGACGAAAAAACCTGCAAGTTACATACAGAATACGGACTCTATAACCCTCAAAGAGACGACTTCTTCGAGATAAAATCGTATGTCTGTTGAGTCCACTTCACATTTCGATGACAATTTATAGTATGTCGTTATAATCAATTTCTCTGATGCCTCAACCGGCAAGATGACCACCATCTTTTGGGTACAGTAGCGTCAGAAATCATAAGTATATCGGGGATAAGATAATGAAAATTATCCACTGAAAAAATGCGTTAAATAAACAGTATTTTATAATTGGTATTAAATTTATTGTATTTTATTTTATATTTGCATACTCAATGCTGGTTTTCCATATGCAAACTTCTGCTTTCAGATCCCACTAGATCAAAGATTGACAAAACGATACTTGTTAAAGGGATATTACAGACAAGTACATAATTTCTGGTTGGTCTGTGCCCTTACTAATGACTTCAAAATACAATGCATTTTCCATGTGCTCATATCGAACAAACAAACTGCATGTGTCGAGGAGGCGGCTAATGTGAATTAACCCCAATGCGTAATGGGAATTCGGGTCTTGTACTCTCAGATTGGGGAGTGGTAGCTAATTGGACGTAAACTCCCTCATATCCACAAAACATGTATATCAAGATCAACTTGGTTATCTTATTTGTAAGATATACCGTGTTCAAGAGGTGAGAATGCGATCGTCACTCCGTTACTCTTAGCTAGTCTTGGCAACTTAAGGCTTTTAAATTCCTGTCTTTTTTTCAGAGGCTATATCAGCCTAGATGTAGGGACTGGATCCTTGGCCTGGGCTAGCAGTCTTCTACGATTTCCTGTCCTTCCCGTTATGGATATATTCGGTGACATCATAGGCACGGACGGCCATTATCTTGTGATGATTGAAGACAGCGGTAAAATGTTGCAGCCGATTAAAATAGAGGACGTGTTGTTCCCTATGTATAGGTAATTTTAAATCACGAATAAATTTTAAGTTAATAATTGTGTAAAATGTGAGTTTTCAGTCATTTTTAAGTGGATAATGATGTGTTCAATAATAAGGGATTTCCCTTTCATCATTGGTTCAACATCGGTCGTTCATTTTTTTCGACCCTAATTCACCATAATCTCGAAAACAAAGGAAAAATATAATATGATAAAATGAAATTCAAATACATTATAGTTCTAGATTCTAATACACCCGTCCGATAGGCACACATCGTCGTATCTTGCACTTATTAGCACTTTTGCAAGTTACAAATTTACAATGTTATTATATTAATAGGGCGAACGATCTTGTTCGATCACACCTGCCAATTCAGTTTGTGAGATGCTTTTTGACTGGTGTATTTCCTTTTTACAACAGTCTCCTGATATCGGCCAATAACTTGGTTCTGCTGGTGTCCGAGAGTGGAGCTGTCATCGTATACGAAACAGGTAACAAGTGTCGTGATAGAAAACAGATGGCAATTTTTGTTCGACATTTTGAATTTTGAGATAAATCGCTGTCAGAGTTTCCCAAACATTCTTATTTCATAACTTTTTCACGTGTTCAAAATCACATGATTTGCCTGTTACAGGTCTTTCGGTTAAGGGAAATATTTTTGAAACATAACCTTCCCGCGTTCGGATACAAGGAGTGGCAGTTTTGTTGGCACAATCTGTTGATAGCGTATCACCCAGTCACCGCAGTTCCACCGGGCGATACCAAACACCCACACTTCACTGTATTACGTGAACTATAAACAATGGCATTGACCTGTATTGTTGGAAAAATCCGACACTGAGCTAAATCCGGGGGGGGGGGGGGGGGGGGGGGGGGGGGTTGCTGACATTTCTATTTCGTTAGTTAAGTATGACAAATGAGGAATCGCGACTGATATCCTGTCTGTCCTTTTCAAATACACATGACCCATTACTTTCTGAAATACAGAAAAATAACTTAAGTGACGTTTCTCACCTGCACGTAACTTAAAGGCCTCTAAACACCGGAAGTAGAATTTGACGCCGCAACATAATGATAACAACAATCTAATTGGGAGGGGGTGAGGGATGATAACGGGACGGGTTGTATACACTATCGTATTACTTCCCCCGGACATCGACCATACCAACTCCCTCCTGGCGCTCATGATTTGAAGAACGGCACCGCGTGTAATCACATGATTACTGTAAATAACTGATTTGTTTCATCTACCACTACATCAAGTAACTCCGAATGTGACACAGTTTGATGGGGAATGCATGAGCAACTAAACATATAATCAATTTGTCTAGAAATAAAAATATGCGATAAAAGCAACTTGCTATCTACCGGAAGTGGATGTAACTAGACAAGATTTCTGTGATTTTAATTAATTTCATTTTAATTTTTCATCGTTTTTGAGATTCATGTTTCCGAATATTTAAAGTTTTGTTTTTCTATAAGCCTGTAGATAGAGAGCTGCGATAAATCTAACAGGGTCTTCGGTATGCGGTTTGCTTTCTGTTTGTAGAGGGTATACCGGAAGCTTCGATCTGGCTGACTGGGACAGTTCAACGGGCAAATGGAACCTTTCTTCCAGTTGCAGCACCAATCCTACACGAAAATAGATGTTACATTCTCACAGAATTTAAACCAGACGAAGGAAGTCCCGGAGCTAATGACGTAAGATTATCAATATGGGTGGTTCCCCGGATAGTGTATAATTCTCCCATCAGACACAGGCTCTGAACTGGAATGAAAAATCCACCATTTGTACGTATTTTGGAATTATAGCACATAGTTTATGATTAAGAGATACAAGCGCCCGTGAATAGCGTCTCGTGTTCCACTTTGCAATCACATGTCTAGATCTATATTTATTAGGGCTTTTCACTAACTGGTGAAAAGACCGATTGTTTTAGTTATGTTTCTTATTATTCTTATTATTCTTCTTCCAATATTGTGGGTTCGCAATCTTTTAAATTGTAGAAGCTAGACATACATTCTATTCATCTATTTGCAGATACGTATATGAAGTTGTCGATGCCGATTTTTTAAGTAGGTCAAAAATCCAATATGGCCGCCACGACGTCATAAGTTAAAAACTTAAAAAAACGGCAATATCTCGTTGTAATTTATTTTCATTGTATCTAAAATTACTATTTCACAAAAAACTGGTTGATAGTGTGTATTTCTCGGAGCATTCTTTCCGTATTAGAATTCAGATTGTAACATATGTTAAAAGACATTTTATCCGAGTTAAGTAAGAAATAATCTCCAAAACCTCAAATCAATTATCACCGTTTTGCCTTACAAGGATAAACCGTCCTGAAATAGTAGTTTCAGCTCTGTGTTGACGTAGGGGTGATAAGTGAGGGATCTGAGGGAGAAACGAGGCTGCTGTATCTATGAAGATGTTAGATTGAAAAGGAATGAGTTAGTCATTAGAAATTCAAATAGTATACCTTTAATTTCGCTAGATATACATTTTCCTTACCCATTTTCGTATAAATATCCAATAACAAAGAATAAAATAAAAAATAAATCCTGACTGTTAATGACATATCATTCTCCCCCACAGCCAGCCGTCCTGGGTCTACAGAGACTCTACGCCATAGACATGTACCAGCGAATGGTTGATCGTCTACACATCACGTGGTACTTTAACTTTGAACGTGAAACCGGAAGTCGTAATCAGTTCCGAGAAAGAGTCGGAGATAAATTTGTTGTAGAAATGGATATGGACGATGGTATAAATATATCTAAAGAAAAACAAGATGAAATGATACAACCGTCTTTGATGTTTAATGTTGAAACAAACACTGTCATGGTGAACCTTCCTCCTCCAGAGGGTTCGAACGCGGGGCCAACACTATGGGGACTGAAAGATGACGGAGACACCGCTTCTCAGCTCTTTAGAGTTACTGCAGGATTGAAACAGATGGCCATGTTCGACACAAGCACGATGGCTACTGGACGTTCTTTACCGGAATTAACAAAACATAGACCGGACGTACTTTCGACAGGTGCATTTGGTCCTTTCCCACACAGAAGAATTACTTCTAAAGAAACCGGCACAAGTGTTTGGGCCATTTTGACGGACTTAGCGTCGGTTGTGCAGGTGTCTCCAATGACTGGGGCAATACAAAAATCCATCGATGTGTCCATGCTTCTGAAAGTGCAGAAAGCTCAAGTCACGTCAAATCTCATGGTTGCGAGATCATCCGGTTCTAATAACGATGTTTTGATTTTCGGTGTTGAAGTATCTACCCCTCCTCCAAATACAAAGGAAGCACACGCCTTCGAATCTCTGTGTAAAGAACACGGGCTTCCAGTAGATCCTTCCATATCAACCTTTGTATTGGGAGTTTCCGGTACGGATGGACAATTGATATGGATGGTTTCATTGCCGGACGGTTTAAAAGCAGGAGGACAGATAGCAGGAATACCCCTGACTGGTCCGGAAAATGACGATCTGAACGATATATTAGTTGTATTTGCCGGGGACGACGAATCCTCAACAATTTTAGCAATTAGTAGTCGCTAAAGACTCGGTGATACGTTATACACAATACATTTACAACTGAAATATAATCTGGAAAACAAACTGATTGTGTTATTGTTATATTTATCACTATTGTGACTCGGATGATAACCACTCAATGGCGAAATATGAAATCGAGGCAACGCAATAACCAGATATATACCACGTGACCCATAACGTTTTCTCATTCGGTGCGGGATTCGAACCCCATTATTGCTGGTTATAGGTGAGTACATTATCCATTGCTGAGCCTTAGTAAGGTGATGTGGCCATTACTCACTCGGCAATGATTTACAAACCCCCTTCGATTGCATTACGTTAAGCTAGGTTTCGCGTGTAAGGGGACCAAAATACAATCCTAATGTGAGTAACTTTTACAAAAGTACATTTGACAGAATAAAAGGTTTTATAATACATCCAGTAGAAGACTAGTGTGATGTTTTGATGTCAGACAACACTTTCATCATCACCGGACAAATAACTAGAGTGAAACGTATTAGCACTGACGTATTAAGCGTACGATACGATAAGAAATCGACTGACTTCTTCGGCTCTACTACAATCCTATGTAAACTAATGTAGAAACTAATGTGACGAGATGGTAAAACGATTATAGCTATAACGCTCAGAAGATGGTCAGTACGTTTCACAGTGGCCATTTGTCTGATGAAGATTAAAACCCTGCTGTGTGTTTGTTGTGGTAACAGTTTGGGAAGGGAGAGGTATTGTTTTATCGACCACGGGACAGAATACTGTTTAGAGGTGAGAGAACAATTTGATTCAACAACCGGTCAAAATAGTGCTGGTAAAGGATGACAATTTTATCGATAATTAATCAAGACGGCTATAAAACTCTTGATAAATGTTCATGTCATTGTCAGCAAAATTACCCCGTTATTGATATTGAAAGTTTTACAAATTTGGAAACTCTTACAATAGATTTTTTTTAATGCATGAAGGTATTTTGCAGTAATTGACGGACATAGCCTACAGAACCACCAATGAAAAGCGCTGAACGAAAAATATAGATATATAAACTACAGTAAAATAGTTCAGTTCATATGGACTTATTTTCAATCATGATGGTAGTCAATTTAGTCATCCTAGATTTTGGAATGACCGAAAAATAGCAACAGTTGACTGTTTGGTCGGGACTCTGGGACAAGTTCAAGCGTTCCGGTGTAACTCGGGAAGAAGTTTGGAATGTGTAATATGCCGATGTAAAACCAGAATTGTGTTCATGTGGTTATCACGTCGAATCTTCGATCAGGCCAAAAAATAACAGCAAAATCTTCGCATGTTTTCGAATATCCAGAACATTGCGTCCCTTGGAATCGAAAAGTACAAGATGTTTTTTTCCTTAAAACTGCTGTCTTCATGGAATATCGTCATGAGATACTAACCGACACAGTCTCATGATCATGCCTGTAGCCCAGCTAATTCAAGATTTGATACCAAACTTACTTTTAAAAAAAAAATATTTATTTATTTATTTTATAGCAATATGTATATACATTGTAACAGAGAAAATCCAAATTCAACATTGGTGAAAACTTATTTCAATATCATTATCATCAATATCATTTTCAATTTTAATTCCTAAATTGTGATTAATAAGATAAATATGAATACTTACTATACATACTTTTAAGTGTGTCAAATACCTCTGGTGAGTGGAAGATGAACTTAACATTATTGCAAGACCAATCAAGGTAAACTACTAAACAAATAATTATAGAAATGTTACACTGATATTTTCTTAATCGCAGTCAAATGTCGCAAACATGATTTGCTTTAAGCGCATTTTTAGCCCACCACCATCAGATGGTGGTCTATTCAAATTGCCCTGCGTCCGTGGTCCGTCCGTCCGTCGGTCCGTAAACAATTCTTGTTACCGCTATTTCTGGAAAAGTATTGGATGGATCTTTCTCGAATTTCACATGAATGTAATAGAAAGTATTCAACTAGAAGCAGCTAGAATCGTAACTGGGGGAACCAAGCTTACAAGTATAAATAGACTTTATAAAGAAACTGGTTGGGTTATTCTTTCCACCAGACGCAAACATAGTAAAATTATCCAGTTTCATAAAATAGTTCACGGTTTATCGCTGTCATTCCTTCATGACCTCCTTCCACCTCGTCAATCCGACCTGCATAACCATAACACTAGAGACGCAGCGAACTTCCGTCCAGTTGCATGTAGAACAAAGCTATACAAAGACTCTTTTCTTCCTTCGGCTGTAAATCTTTGGAATTCCCTACCTGTGCATGTTAAAGAAAACCCTTTATACTCTGAAGAATTACTTAAATGGCCTTAATTCCAATATTCCAGGATATTTCTATGTTGGTTCAAGACTAGGACAAATTTATCATTCCAGATTACGAATACAATGTAGTTCACTTAAGGGTCACCTTTTCAGTAAAACTCTAGTGGATAGTCCTATTTGTGATTGTGGTATGGGAAACGAAACAACCGAACATTTCTTTTTATCTTGCACTAATCATAACAGATGTAGACATCTTTTTCTTTCTCATCTTCTTCCGATTGAATCTGTAGACGTCCTTCTTTTTGGCGATACATTTTTATCATTTGCAGAAAATGAAGCTATATTTGTTAGTGTCCAAACTTTCATATTAAAGACTAAACGATTTGAGCATTAGGAAGAGTTACTGCCAACACTACTGTACTCCTTCCATACACGCGAAACTTTTTACTTTCATGAGTTTTTGTATATCTGTATTAACTAATAGTACAGCAGTTTGTAGTACTACATGTATAATTAACAATTTATTAAGATACCCATATGTTACTATGGATGAACTTGCATTCCTTATCATATTGTATTTGTCGATCTTACATAATGTATACATACTATACTACTCATTCTATCCACTTTCCTTACTTCATTTCCCTCTCCTAAACTCATTTCACTTTCACTTTCCCAAATTCGATCAGTCGCTGCCTGCTTGTTACTTCTAAGGAGACAGATTAACATAAGTTTATAACTTCTTTTGTTGAATCCTTTTTGTATAACATGCTTTGAATGAAATGCCACTGCCAAAATAAAATAAAGTTTAAAACAAATTTCATATGCAGTTTCCCCTTGGTCCCAAGTTGTGCATTATACCTTTTTGGACTGATCCGAATTGAAGATTGTCGCTTGTCGGCCTTCTTTGAATTTGAAAGTAAAAGTTTGTTACCGCTATTTCTGAGAAAGTGCTGGATGGATCTTTGTCAAATTTCACAGGGAGCTTCCCCCTGGTCCCTAGTTGTGCAGTGTACCTTTTTTGGACTGATTCGAATTCAAGATGGCCCACAGACGGACATCTTGGATTTTGGAAGTAAAAGTTTGTTATCGCTATTTCTGGGAAAATACTTGATGGATATTTCTCAAATTTCATATTCAGGTTCCCCTTGGTCCCTAATTGTGCATTTTACCTTTTTTGGACTGATCCGAAATCAAGATGGCTGACAGGCGGCCATCTTGGATTTTGAGAGTAAAATCTTGTTACCGCTATTCAGTCTGAGGAAGTACTGGATGGATCCTTCTGATATTTCATAGGTATTGGTTTCCCTTGGTCCCTAGTTGTGCATTGTACCTTTTTGGACTGATTTGAAATCAAGGTGGCCCAAAGGCCGCCATCTTGGATGTCGACAGTAATACAGTACAAGCATATTTTCTTCGATACTCTATCATGTTGATTCAAGACCATGCCCATTATCCACCTTTAACTGACTGCTATCTAATAATACTTTGGGATCTTTTTCAAATGATATTTGCTAATAGGTGCTTAATAAAAATATCTTTTGCCATCATTGAGTACATTCAATGAAGACCAGCTCATGAACATTTACAACACCTGTAACAAAAAAAATAAAACAAAAATAAACAAATCTTCAAGAACTGAAAACAGATCCTCAAATGGTGGGCGCCGCTGGGATCTATTGTAATGAAATATATAGAATTAATTGGTATCAATACTTGCCTAGAATCATGCATGGAATTTGAAACTAATTTTCTTGAATTGACGATTTTGATTTCATGTTTTGAAATAGGACCCGTAATGTTGAACGGTATCAACCGATATTTTAAAAATATCATAAATAAATGCTTAAAACGCATTGATTATTTTCTTGTGAACGTTATTCCTAAAACTAATGTCTTTGATTAAGGGTAAAAGCATGTATAGAGCCAGGTTATCAAAATATCACCTCGCATGGACTTTACTGCACCATATGAAGTGGTGAAATCTACTGAAAAGCATGCAGAGAGAAAGGTTACTACAAAATTGGCAAGAATTATGACCAGAACTTGGTTACTAAACCTGAAATCACAAAATAATAAATTGACTTTACTAAGTAGACTACGTCGTCCTGGTCTTAAAACGTAACGCTGTACTCAAATGTTACCCGCTCAACAAGGCGAAAAGAGTATTCGTGAGTTTGGACGATACCATTTCATCAGCAGAGTTGTTGTTTAATCATTCAGATGTTTTCTGTCAGGATTGTTTTTTCATATTGTCATTTCATACGTAACACTACCCTAGAAATATAACCACCTAAACATTTATAATTGTTATATCGCTGAATTACTTAAAAAGAACACACACAGTAATAGACCGCACTTTATCGCTTCCTCACCTACCGTCATAAATAAACTCGTCCAAAAGGTGCTTCCTCTCGTGCGCTTTTGTCAACAAGACGGGATCACATCGTTCACAGGATAAAAGGTATGTAATTAAAAGATACAATAAATTGATGAATTAAGGACTTTGTCCATTGGCGAAGGATTATTGAAGCTTATAATTGAAATAATGACAGAAACCTGTATTGATGTAGAAATATGCCGGACTCTTCGGCTTCCGACAGAATAGACAAGATGAACAACTCCACTGTTTTTCGTCGATTATAAAACTAAATGATAAATATTTTAAACGTTTTAACATGTTATCTGATTCGTTATTGGATACTCATCGAGTCAGCTTGCACAAGATAACCGTATGTCAACAACCCTAGCCCACCGGGCTCTCCAATGCTGTCCGACATTTACTATTAGGTCTGTTACATCATACTTTGGCACAGGGTACAGTGTAATACCCAGAGATTAACACTTAATATGTACCGTACTGTATAGACTCAAATTCTCGTTTAATTCTCGTAGATTATGAAATTGACTTTTACAAACAGTAAAGACTGAATAATTAATCCAAACATTGTTCCTTGTGTTGATGAAGCTGTTAACTATGATAATGACCAGTTCCAAGTGTATCAAGCCATTCGACCAGCTGGTCTGCTGGTTTTAATGTAACACGTACCCTGCATCAACACATATATGTGCCCTTTAATGTCTACATCTGACCACCTGGTCTTTACAAATGGAAGCTATTTGATCCCACAGAGTAAAATTAAGAGTATAGCTGTAGTGCTTTAGATAAGGGACCTGTTGCTGTACCCTGATGTGATGTTGATTTAGGGGCAGTTGCAGGAGGCGTGGAAGGGTCCTCCCTTCCAATTTGTAACAGGTCTTCAGATTACATATGTTGGTCCCTTTGTAGTGGGTCAGAGAGCCCAGGCTCAGTGTATCATGCTGAAAGATGGGTAAATGATAGTCATGTGAAAGTTGATACTATTTTTGTTGAATTTTAATTTTGTCTTGTGCACTTCAGGTCATAGACCTACCTAGCAGCTAAACCAAAGACTGAGATATCAAAACAAACAGGTGAAACTACTGGCATGTCCTGATTACGGTTTGATTTAAACCATTGAAATCAAAGTCACATGGAATAAACTGTTTTGAAGAGGTTGATCATAGAATTATGTAGGTAAGGTGCAGATTTAGTAAGTTAATGACCCCCCCCCCCAAAAAAAAATAAAGAAAAAATGGTCAGAATTTTAATTGACACTTGACATCTCCCTTGCCTGTATTATAAGACTGTTTATGTTAAATGACAGTATGTGTCCTAGTGTCTGAAGTTTCCAAGGTTTTAAATTCATGGTCAGATTTCAGAAGTGCAAGTTACCTTGTCAGGTGTGAATGGAAACAGACATATAGCAGGCCTCTAGATAGGTGACCATTTGGTAAGAGAGCAACATCCTTGAATCTCTTGATTATACCAGGGGTTGACCTGGAAATGTTGATAAGCATTTGGTCTAAATTCCATTCTGTTTCATTCCACTAAATCAATATTATGTGTTGACTAGATAGTTTTGTGTTGATAATGAGATGTTACGATGACAAGGTGATTTAGTTGAAAATATACACAAAATAAATCTAATTATTATATTATCAGGACTACAAGATTACACTGTGGTTGTATTCAAGACTTTTTTTAGAACTGGCATTATGAACGACAGTCAGTATAAGCATTTATAATCATAGGACCATTTTCTGGTAATAAACAACATTGGGGGAGATTTGTGATTATACTGTAGCAACAGGTCTCTGATAAGGTGGCTGGTAACTTTGACAAGATAAGAAAGGGGGTGGTATTGGTGCAGTTTCCATGGTGTCCAGTGAATGGGAGGGGCTTTCTCAAATTCCCAATACAAGGGGGTGGAGCTTAAAATGCCCCCATACCCAATCAACATCGTGGTAATATAGACAGCTGACAGCTTACTCTGACTTGTTTATGACTAATTACATTTAAAGACTAGAAGTATGTACTGTTTCTGTAGCCAGATAATTGAATATTTAATGAGTTAGATAGAAAAAAATTGATGTATAAAGACCTATATTAAGATGTTGTCATAAAGGGCTAGATTATAACACTTTAAATCACATGGTTGTTGTTTTCATAAGTTTGTATACAATGATAATTACATCTATTTCTTTCATCAGTTGTAATGTTCTGATGATGATTATTTTTTGTAACCTGGTGTTTATCCTGTCCATAGCCAGAATATTGGAAACATCTCCATTGGTGTATAGCTAATTCTACCTACATGTACTTGTACCATGTGCTTGCTTGTTACAGTCTACATCAACAGATATGGTGATCATGTCTGACATATTTCTCCAGGAAGACATCAACCACGTGCTACGAAACAAGTTTGTGGTGATCATTGGAGACTCTAGTGGGTGAAAGTTTAAGGTTTTTTTTTGTTAAACTATAGTTTACAGAAGACCAAAATTATCATTCATTTTGATAACATTAATATTGATGTGAAAGGATAATAAAGATGTAATCATCATATCTTCATGGACTTAATTCAAGAAGTCAAGATGTAGGTTGTTTTTGTTAGCTACGAAAGAACCCTTTTAATATTTTTATATGTTTGTCTCTTTTAATATTTTGTTGAAATAACAGGGGGAGGAGCACAGCCATTTACCTCATTTATGAATTGATAGTTCCATACAATTATGATTATTTACGTTCGTCTATTTCATAAAAGTGGGATTAATTTACTTGAGGTGAAGCATTGTATTTAAGATTGCTTAAGATATATTTTTCAAAATTGAAACATTAATTGAACCATAGAATAGAAGTTCTTGTAACACAACTGGTAGAAGATTAGAGTGTGATGTTTCAATGACTACATGGTCACCTTCATTAAACAAATGACCCTTTCGGAGGGTATTAGCACTGACATACATAGTTGAAACAGTCTCCGCAGTTTTTCTGTATAGTGCAATGGTGGAAACAAAAAGAAATCAACTATTGTAAACATGAAATCTGAAAAAATTCTGAAACATTCACATTCACTGTTGTAGTTTACTCTAAAACAATTCTCATCATTATTCATCATTATTGGTAGTGTCTCTGGAACACATAGCGATATGCCGTTATGAATTCAAAGGCTCCCTTGTAATGTCATATGACAAACTGTGCTTGAATTTCACTTGGTTTGAAATGCTTTTGTGAAATAGTGTGCATGTAAAATATTTTATTGAATCTTTACAGAATTATTGTTGAATTTTTGCATTTAGCAATTGATATATGAATACCCCCTGGTAGATGTGAAATATTTTAAAAATATTTGTTTGTTTTGTTGCTATGGTATAAGAAAAACTGACACAATAGGCTGTTACATGATTGTAGTTTTTAAGCCGACCAACTGAACATTTTGGTTATTTTTGTGTCTGTAAAGTTTGAAATTAATAAAAGTGCAAAAGTATTTTAATTAATAAAAATTGGTTATATGTATAGATTGTTTGTCAATTTGTTTAGGTTATCCATTGATAAGTATTATTGAACTTAGATAAACTTAAATTTCAACTCTGCCAGTTATTCTATTTACTGAAGTTAAATTATAGTCATCCCCCATGTACCTTATTTGTATAAATAAGGCAAAATCGCAAAAAGAAAAAGGTGAAAAGAATGCAGTGTGTTTTTAATGACAGTGTTTTTCAGCTCATTGTGGTCAAATCCCATCAAGAAAAAAGTCAAGTCCTGTTACTTCTAAATATTTTATTGTAATTCACCTTGACACCAGTATCACCAGGTTGTCAGATTACAGATTACACATTCAGAATGCATCACACAAGCTATTTATCAGCCTATCACAACTTAATTATAACTGATAAGGTGTATTGTGACACTGGAACAAAGCTGCTGAAATAACACAATTTAGAGAAAAAAAATGAAATAAGATTTCCTAGATGACCTAGAAAGTGAATATGTGAACTTCGAAAGGTCACTGCCAATATGTGATGGTTCTAGGTTCATTTTGGAGTTCAGAGAGTTAATTAAAAATTTTAGGTGGGAAAAAATGCTGGCCTCGAACAATTAATGAAAACATATTTTCCAAGGTCATTAGTTGTGACCTTTGGTGAAAGGAGAAAATTGTCAAATAGTATCCAAATTTTATAGTGTTTAATTTTTGTCCTGTAAAATAGACGAATAAAAAAAATAGAGTCCTGATTATTTGAAAGATGATACTGTCTATCCTTGTTGATAGGTCGTGTAAAGCTGTCGATCATTTAGCTATTTACACTTTGACTATTGGAAGTGAGTATTGAGTATTGGAAGTTAAAAAAACAATGGCCTTAAGGGGACATAGGATACTGTTTTGAACTTTTTTTGAAGCACAAATTGAACATTGCAAAATACTGAATGAAACTATTCTTAACTAAAAAAAAACCATATCTTTCCTGTTATTTCCTCATTTATTAAGTATGAATTGACTTTGAATATCATTGTGTGTGCTTTGAATAAAAATATTGAAGCACATTGATTGCAAAATATTTCTTCGAAAATAAAAATGAAAGCAAAACAAATCAAGTGAGCATAACTGTGCAAAAGGGTCAGTGAGCTAGTTTGTCACTATATCTTGCCTAATCTTGTTATTTCAGCATTAGTTTACTGTTAAAATCTAAAAACTGTGTAAGGAAATCTGGATCAAAAGAAAAAACTACAGTGATCCATCACATCACCAACATTTGTGTATAATCAAATTACACACAATTTCATTTTAATGATGTTGGTTCAACACAGACTGGTTATGATACAAATTGTTGTCTCTTCCACTCCTTAACATCTGAAATAGAACCAGAATTCATGGTGAACTCACAAGTAGTGTTTTATTTACAGTTCAGAGAGCAATATACAAAGATCTTGTTCTTCTCCTTCAAAGAAACAGATACTTGAGTGATGCCCAGCTTAGGTCAAAGGTGAGAATGGGTGGAATATGTTATTATAAATATATGTTTTGTAGTAGAATTTAGGATGGATTTAGTAGTTACTAGTAAAAAAAAAATGTGGACAAGGGGGAAGAACTCGATTCGACAACAAAATCAACAAATTTGTTTTATCATTGAAATAATTTCTGACTGGTTAAAAAAAATTTTTAAGTACTCAAATAGCAGTAAGTGTCACCATCATTATTTAATTATTTGAGTTTTACAATTTTAGGGAGAGTTTTCCTTTGTGAATGATGAGTTGATTGAAGGCGGAAAGAAAGGTAAAATGTGTAATGGGAAAGGTTACAGAGAGGTGAGACAGTTTCAGACAGACTACCACCTGGTACGCTTCTACTTTGTCACACGATGTTACAACACATACATGGAATCTGTCCTCTCTGACTTGTCTCATGACCCAAAGCCCGATCTTGTCATCATGAATTCCTGCCTTTGGGACATAAGTCGGTGAGGATTCCCAATTTGCTTTTACACACTGGAGCAAATTATTCAAGATCTAATAAAAAGTCAATATCAAGTGTAGATTGACACACTGATAATCAAAGCGAAATGAAAGTGTTATGTGAAAATTTGTTTTAAAATACCAGAAAAGAAGGGTTATCAGTAAAAAAAAAGTTGTGAAAAAAAGTGCAAGGGGTCCAATTAAATGACTTTAGGTAAATGAAAAAGATTGAGAGATGTATGTCACTTCACTACTGTTTGATGGAACATTTTCATGTTTTCTTGGTCCAACAACAATTTTGTCAAGGCTTGTATGCATATTTTGCCCTTCACTGTAATTACAGTCTTTACTCATTTCATAACTATCAGACATTTGAGTATTTAAGAATGAAACCTCCATGAATTTAATTATAACATTCTTGAGTTATTATAGCTGTTGTATATCTTTGTTCCTATTGTTATTGCTTTTACCACTTCTCCTCAATTTCTTATGATTAATTAAAACCAATGTACCAAAACTTGTATCTTCAGAAAAACAGTATTAGCGTTTAGTTGTAGCATATCATTTGAAACACAAATTTGTAGGAAATTTAATAAATTGTGTAAATATGAAGTGTATTTGAGGATATGTAAATATGTTAATTGTTTTACCAGGTATGGAGTGTCTGCAGTAGAGCAGTACAAGAAGAATCTAGAGCGCCTCTTCACCAGGTTTGAAGAGACTCTCCCCAAAGAGTGTATGGTAATATGGAATACCACCTTGCCCATATCCAAGAATGCAAAGGGGGGCTTTCTTGTACCAGAGGTGGAATTCATGAACAGTACTTTGAGGCTAGACATCCTTGAAGCCAATTTCTACGTTCGACAGATAGCAGTTGCACACAACATGGATGTCCTTGATCTACACTACTTTCTGCGTCACCAACTGCACCGCCGTGCTGAAGATGGCATTCACTGGGACATGACTGCTCACCGCCGCATGACAAATCTTATCATGACACATGTGTGTGAGGCTTGGCGAGAACAGCTCCCTGGTAGAGTGAACCAAAACAAGAATGACAGTAAACATTTGACAAGGACCTTGGGTCTAGACAGGGGGAATCAGATAGACAACAGGCGTTATGACAACACAAGAAAAGAAAATGGAAGAAATGGTGGTCACAGAGGTGAAAACTTTCACCCTGACAACCGCAATACTGATGAGCAGAGTTTCAGAGAAAATCATTGGAATGGGAACTTCACCAATTTCTCCATCACCAGGAACAACAATACTGCCCAGAATACATACCAAGATTATTTGGATGAAATCTGCAACAACAATAACAACTACCATAATGCCCGAGTTTCCTATGAACCAAATGCCAGGTCTAGTTTTCCTCCTGTTGATCATAGACCTAGAGCATGCAGTCCTGCCAATGTGCTACACACATTCAAACAGATGGCATCAGGTGACTACCAATGGAAACCTTACCAACAGAATACATATCAGCCATTGAGTCGAAGCAATCCGCACTACCGACAGATGCAGCGAGAAAATCCGTACAGCAATCGCTCAGTTAAGGTGGGACACACCTGGTCATCACATTGGTAGAACACTGTGATTTCACTTCATTAAAAGCTAGCAAAGTAGCTTAAATGCTTTTGATATAGATTTAGTTCAGATGTGTACAAGCTCACGGTATCCACCATTGAATGACACAGTTAATATTTTTTAAGATTTTAGTGCATAGTTTACCTATTTAAAGATAATTTCTCGAATCCAAGTTGTGTATTTCTGATGTTATGGTATTATTTCACATATGTACTAGACAATTATAATTGATATGTTTTGCCTGTTACATGGTTGTGTGTTGTGTGATATATCTGTGTATTGTGTATGATATTGATGTGTGGTGTCTGTTACATGGTTGTGTGTTGTGTGATATATCTGTGTATTGTGTATAATATTGATGTGTTGTGTCTGTTACATGGTTGTGTGTTGTGCGAGATATTTGTGTATTGTGTACAATATTGATGTGTTTCACCTGTAACATGGTTGTGTATTGTGTACATTATTGATGTGTTGTCTGTAACATGGTTGTGTATTGTGTACATTATTGATGTGTTGTCTGTTACATGGTTGTGTATTGTGTATAATATTGATGTGTTGTCTGTTACATGATTGTGTGTTGTGTGATATATTTGTGTATTGTGTTTTATGTTGATGTTTTGTATGTTACGTGGTTTTGTTGTGTGATATATTTTTGTATTGTGTATAATATTGATGTGTTGCCTGTTACATGGTTGTGTATTGTGTGATATATTTGTGTGTTGTGTATGATATTGATGTGTTTCGCCTGTTACATGGTTGTGATGTGTGACATATTTGTGTGTTGTATATAATATTGATGTGTTGTGTCTGTTACATGGTTATTGTGTCGCCTGCAGAGCTGGCGGACACTTGGGGATCACTTTGTCCATCGTCAAAATGAAATTTAGTTTCTTGTTGGAAGGGTACAGATTAAGTTTGATTTCCAGCTGTCTGTGACCCTTCTTGGCAGAGTAATGCCCCTTTGAATTTAGAAAATTCTCTGGGAATATTGTTTTTTTTACTTTCTTTAGTTATGCTTTGAGTTATAGAAATGAAATTTGGTATATGGCTTCTTGTTGGAAGGATACAGATTAGTTTTGATTCTTGGATGTCTGTGACCCTTTTTTGCAGTTATGCCTCTTCAAAAATTCTTTGAGAATATGGTTTTTTGTACAATTCTTTGGGAATATTGTTTTCTGGAATTTTCATGATTATGCTTCGAGAATATGAGCTCTTGGTCAAAGTTACGCACCGAGGTCGCTTCTTGGCAGTCTGTAACCCTTCTTGGCAGTTACATGTTCCTTTGAACTTGGAAAATTTCTCAGGAATATTGCTTTGCACAGTTTTCCCTTTATGCTTCAAGTTATAGAAATAAAATTTGGTATTACAACTGTCTGGTTGAACGTTGCACATCCAGTTCGATTTCTGGGTGAATGTGACACTTTATGCAGGCGACACATACAGTTCCGAGGAACTCTTGTTGTTGTGTGATATATTTGTGTGTTGTGTGTATAATATTGATGTGTTGTCCGTCACATGGTTGCATGTTGTGCGATTATATTACTGTGTTGTGTGTATGATATTGATGTGTTTTGTCTGTCACACGGCTTTGTGTTGTGCAATATACTGGTGTGTTGTGTATGATATTAATGTGTTGTTTCTGTTATAATGTTGTGTATTGTATGATACATTGATGTGTTGTGTTTGAAATGGATGTGTTGTATTGTCACATGGCTTTGTGTTGTGTGATACATTGATGTGTTGTGTTTGAAATGGATGTGTTGTATTGTCACATGGCTTTGTGTTGTGATACATTGACATGTTGTGTTTGAAACGGATGTGTTGTATTGTCACATGGCTTTTTGTTGTGTGATACATTGATGTGTTGTGTTTGAAATGGATGTGTTGTATTGTCACGTGGCTTTGTGTTGTGTGATACATTGATGTGTTGTGTTTGAAATGGATGTATTGTATTGTCACGTGGCTTTGTGTTGTGTGATACATTGATGTGTTGTGTTTGAAATGGATGTGTTGTATTGTCACGTGGCTTTGTGTTGTGTGATACATTGATGTGTTGTGTTTGAAATGGATGTGTTGTATTGTCACGTGGCTTTGTGTTGTGTGATACATTGATGTGTTGTGTTTGAAATGGATGTGTTGTATTGACACATGGCTTTGTGTTGTGTGATACATTGATGTGTTGTGTTTGAAATGGATGTGTTGTATTGTCACATGTCTTTTTGTTGTGTGATACATTGATGTGTTGTGTTTGAAATGGATGTGTTGTATTGTCACATGGCTTTGTGTTGTGTGATACATTGATGTGTTGTGTTTGAAATGGATGTGTTGTATTGTCACATGGCTTTGTGTTGTGTGATACATTGATGTGTTGTTTGAAATGGATGTATTGTATTGACACATGGCTTTGTGTTGTGTGATACATTGATGTGTTGTGTTTGAAATGGATGTGTTGTATTGACACATGGCTTTGTGTTGTGTGATACATTGATGTGTTGTGTTTGAAATGGATGTGTTGTATTGTCACATGTCTTTTTGTTGTGTGATACATTGATGTGTTGTGTTTGAAATGGATGTGTTGTATTGTCACATGGCTTTGTGTTGTGTGATACATTGATGTGTTGTGTTTGAAATGGATGTGTTGTATTGTCACATGGCTTTGTGTTGTGTGATACATTGATGTGTTGTTTGAAATGGATGTATTGTATTGACACATGGCTTTGTGTTGTGTGATACATTGATGTGTTGTGTTTGAAATGGATGTATTGTATTGACACATGGCTTTGTGTTGTGTGATACATTGATGTGTTGTGTTTGAAATGGATGTATTGTATTGACACATGGCTTTGTGTTGTGTGATACATTGATGTGTTGTTTGAAATGGATGTGTTGTATTGACACATGGCTTTGTGTTGTGTGATACATTGATGTGTTGTGTTTGAAATGGATGTGTTGTATTGACACATGGCTTTGTGTTGTGTGATACATTGATGTGTTGTGTTTGAAATGGATGTGTTGTATTGACACATGGCTTTCTGTTATGATACATTGATGTGTATCGTCAGATATTTTGAGGTGTAGTGTAAAATGGTGATGTGTTGGTAAATAACTGGTAGTGTTATCTAGTGCTTTAATTAAGTATTTTTAAATTTTCCATTCCAGTGACTTTTCTTTACAGTTAGAACTTTTTTGTTTGATCATTAGATGACAATAAATTTATATATTTTTATAACTTTTATCAATAACATTGTTCATAAGTCACTCATATAGGTTTTGTAAACTTGTTTCCAAACAGTTTTGGTGTAAACAATGAGTGCAGTATATTGACTTTTGGAGACATAATTGTATGACTTAACAAATTAGGAAGAGATAGATTTCTCTGTAAATTTTGATATTAACTGTTATGATACAACATCTATTTTAATTATGTTTTTAGATGTATGTTTTGAGTTTTGTTCTGCTTATACCTACATCGAAATATTCTCATTTTTATTATTATTATTAATATTCTTACATTTTGACAAATAGGTTTTGGTGATGGCTCTAAGCAATAAGCCAAATTGGATAATTCTCAGAATCTGCAGTAAAATATTATTTTTAGAGTATGTATTTTATTTGTTACGAATTCTCAAAAAAAAAAAAAAAGCCATTGTCAAAACAGATACCTTGAAATCAATACTTATGAAGAAATAATAGTTTAATTTGTATGTTTATGGAAATCACATTGATCAACCTTGTAGCTACAAGCTTTTGGTGAAACCAACAGAAACAATGTTTTCAGTATTACGCGATTGAATTCCAACTTTATCACTTCAGTGCTGCATTTACTAGATTTCTCTCCCTTCCCCTCATGATCATGTACTGTTGATGTTTTATCGTTAAAAGTATATGATTGACTATTCTGGGATGTATCTCCATATGCAAAGAGTTTCACTGTATGCGAGTATTAATAAGATCTGAAGACATGAAGGCAAGAATACACGACACTGATTATAGACACGGTTAAACAACATTGATGAAGGTCGATGACTCTGAAACCCTTGGCGTAAACAAGGAGCGAGTTGGGCTGAAATAACTAGTACTTTATTGTTTATATATCTGTACTTTTCTTTCATTTTAATAAAAATGTGTTCTGGATGTTTTTAATCTTGTTTTTTAGAACTAATCTCTTGGAAGAAATGTTAGATTTACGTCTTCCTTTAGCTAAAAGTACCAAAGTTCGTTACCTTTTCCTTAACTTTAGATTGGATGCATAATATGTGTAACATTTTTTAAAAATAGAATTACCTTAACTGTTGGAAATGATAGAAGCACTGCTATATCTCCTCTTAGATTGAATTGCTATTTGATGGTTATGGTGAAAATCAATACTCTATATTTAATTGACAGTTAAATGTTCGATATATTTGCTTTGCCAGCCAACAGAAATAACTATTTGTCTAGCCTTCAGACATGCATTCTGGTTTGTCTTCTGCCCATAGTTTTTTTCCATGCCACTAACATTTAATACAGCATTTGGGAAAAAGAAAATGAGAAATTGTGTAGTAAGATTTAGATATCAAACAGCACACAATATTTTCTTATATTAGCCTTTTAAATCAAGTATTCTCTATGAATTCTGGTGATAATTTCGCATGTGTACACTCGCAAGAAAGGATTCGTCAACTCATTTTCTGTTGAAATGAAATATATTGTGCAGTCATTGATGGTATCTAGAAATTAAAGGTGTGATTGGTCTATATTTTGACAGAAATAAACATTTAGATATTGTTGAAATTTGATGCAAATAATATATACAGAGTTAATTGGAAGGAGTAAGCCTCTAGCACTGCACAGAATATTTTGGGTATATCAGGCAGTGCCAGGCTTTTAATAGTGTAAATGGTAAAGGCATTGAAGACCCAAGAATGACTTCAATATACACCTATTGAAATGAACCCAAGATATATGGGTACGTCATGTTAATTTATTAATTCACCTCATCCATGGTGGATGTGTTTCTACCACTTTTGTAAACATATCTCATAAATGAACATAGTAAAAAAAAAATTTAAAATGGATCAATAAAAATGCAAGTTTTCTATAAAAAGTATATTATAGATAACCTCATCCCCAGGAAGAAATGTGACACGCCTTAAGATGCTTCCATTCATGAAGAGAATTTGATTCTACCATATATAGGTGTTGAGAAGAAGGTTTTTATAACAGAAGTCAATTTAAACAAATTTGGCCCCACCTATCAGCACCTGGAGGTCTGTCAGGATCAACATGTGCATACCTTCAAACTTTTATCCTTTACTCATAATTCATAACAAAGGTTGAAATATTTCCAGTGGAAATCTAAAAATTGGGCGCAGAAATCTATTTTTCTTATAATAACTTTAGTAAAATTTACCCCCCTACTCACCAGGAAATGCGAGACCCTGGAGCTTTGAAATTCATAACTTTGGTAAGCACCTTAAAAAGCTTCCAACCATGAAGAGCATTTTCTACCATAACTGGGCGTTGAGAAGAAGATTTTGAAATCCGAGTAAATTTAAGTCCCGCCCATTAGCCCCTGTGGGTCAGACAGGATCAATATGGGCATACCACCAAGCCATCATCCTTTGCTTGTAATTCTAACAAAGTTTAAAATATTTACAATGGAAATTTAACAAATTTTTCCTATGTATGCAACAGTAAATTTTACCCCCTCCCCACAGGGGAAATGTGAGACCTTGGGGCCATGAAATTCCCAATTTTCCATAAAGAACATTTGATTCAACAATATCTAGGTGTTAAGTTAAAGATTTCTGAAATTTCATTCATTTTGACCCTTTGGACCTTGTCTCTCGGGCATCTTCATAATACAGGCCCATTATTGGCACCCTGGGCCTTTTGTTTATTGAGAAGTTCTTTAAATATTCTAACAAATTTGGCCCCTGTGACCAGCATCATACAGGCCCAACATCAGCAACCAGTGCCTTTTGGTTACTGTCAAGAAATGGTTTAAAGATTTTTACATATTTGACCCTATGACCTTGAAAATAAGTCAAGGTCATTCACTTTAATGAGATTTGTAGTTCTTTGTCCCATCAGGCTACAGGTTCAATATTAGCACCCTGGGCCTTTTGGTTAATGAGAAGCAGTTATTAAAGCATTTTTTAAAACATATTTGATCCCTGTGAAATTGAAATTAGGTCAAGGACATTCATTTCAACAAACTTGGTAGCCATTCATCTCATCATGCTACAGGCAAAATATCAGCATCCTGGGCCTTTTTGGTTATTGGTAAAAGTAATTTGAATGGAAAGCAAAACAGGATGGCTTTAGATCATCCTGACTTGAAGAGTAATACTTTCTTTTTTTATAATTTTAACTTCATATATCTAAAATTTGCACAAGAATGAATATTAATGATAATCAGCATCTTTATTATGCATAGTATAAACACAAGAAAATATACAGGTACCAATGCTCGATTATGAAAAATTAAAGTTGAGCATTCCATCAGATAAAGTTAAATGATCAGTTAACTGATTATATCAGATCAGTAATAAACAGAACTTGAAACTTTGTCTCAACAATATAACTACTGACCGAGCATTAAATTACAAACTTATTTCAGTGATCTTAAGTTAGAAATGTAACAAAAGGCCAAATGTTTGAAAGATTGAATTTTTTAATAAAGGTCAATACCTACATGTATTTCATTGCAGTACAGTCATTAATATGTTGGTTGCATTTGGTCATCAGTAACTATATTGTAAATTATTCTGATCAAGAAAATATTATTTCAAGATTTTATTTACACCTGATCAATATGTCAGTGAACACATTCAATACATAATAATTTTAACAGATTATCAATAGCAAACAACTTGTATAATCAATTCCCTCAAAAGCATCTTTATATAAATATTCACACAATTAGCCATACTCCAGTCATAATTATTGTAGTCCTGTAAGCATGCAAGTTACACATTCTATTTCTCGGACCTTAAATAAGTTAATCTTTGATATATCTTGTTATCTTTCAAGGCTTGTTTGTGATAAAACAGGATAATTTTCACCCTAAGTCATGTGAACATTACCTAAATTATCGAAACTGCAATTAATCTCATATTCATCAAATCACTGATAAAAGACATGAAAGATTTTCATCATAGAAAATGTTATAATATTCATCTGCATTCATAGCAAAAATAAATATTTATGAATATCCATATAACATGACTAATATCAGTATCCTCAGAAACCTTGAAAAATTGTAAGCACCCATACAAACTAATAAACATCACTTCAAATTGAGAATATTCACGACATTACAAAAAGCATGACTACACATAATTAAGCATGATAAGCAATGTAGAAAATAATTGTTCCATCAGTATCCATAGCAATAATCAGCATAATTAATTCAGGACAGTCAAAAGCATTACCTTGTAAACAAACCATGAATTAATCAGACAATCACAAAAAATCAGTATATGAACAGAATATACAAATACATACTGACCAGTGCCTTCTGACATCATACTGACCAGTACCTAATGACATCATAGTGGTGGAAATCATTTGAACTAGCTCTTTTCCCTCTCAATAAAAAAAAGAGGCCCAAGTGCCTTCACATAATTCAAATCTAAACTGTGTATAACATTAACTGCTGTCCTATGCTAAGGCTATCCAAGTTTGAATGAAAAGAAATGACACTCAAAAATTGAATTTTTCTATATAAACTCTTCCATCCAAGAACAATAAAACATCTTTGAAATTTCAGTCACTTTGACCCATTTTCTGTCCTGACCATCGGTCTATGAGGGTGTGCTGAGGTCAGTATGTGCATCTCATTGTCACCTTAACCTGATAATTCTAAGTTTAAACTATCTTGAATAGAATATAAACTAATTATGTTAAAAACATTCCTATATATACTAAAGTAAATTCTACCCCCAAACTGCAGAGAGAAATACATGACCCTACGGTCATGAAATTCAGAATTTTGACAAAACATCTGGACGCTTTCTCATCCATGAAGGGTATTGATTCCATCATACCTGGGATTTGAGAAGAAGATTTTTGAAGTTTCAATCAATCTGACCCTTTTTGGTCCTGCTCCTCAGGCCCTCAAGGGGTTGGGGACCATATAATTTACACTTTTGGTGTCAAAAATGTTAAAAGTTTACATTGTACAATGCACAATGCATGACTCCCGACTATAGGGGATCGCAACAGGTCACCATGAGACTTTGTCACAGGTGATCTAAAAAAAGAAAGATCAAAAAAAAAAAAAAAAAAAAACCCAACCAAAGATCTTATCAAGACTAAAGAACTGATCACACTTATTAATCAGTAGTCATTAAAACATGCATAAGTATCCATGGAAACATATGAGTACCAAACAGTGACCATAGAAACTAATGAATATATTATTCATTTCAAAAAGAAAACATAGGAGTATGAATGATCTGTACCAAGTTAAAACACAAGTACATTAATCATCACTCCAAGAACCTGAGTAATGTAAGAACCAATCCATAATGAAGTGTTGTACAACATTTCCTGTAATATTGAGGGTTCTTATTCAACAATTAACCAAATCTACCGCAAGTATGAATTCTTCCAACAACTAACGGAAAAAGCGAATATTTGGAACCCAACCTCCTCTTAATCCTGCCATTGCCTGCGGATGACATCTTTTTCTCTGGTGATAGGGGGCGCTGCGATACATGTGCCTCTGAAGAATCATCTGATGTCTGGGTGGACGATAGTTTTGTCCAACATAAGGCTGCCAATCATATGATTCAATATTTTCACACAAATTTAAACTGTTAGTTTTGAAATGAACACCACTGGCCATTTGTTCTTGATCAGAAAGATGATTATCCTGGAAGTTGAAGCAATTCTCTTGCTCGTCTTCTGCAAAGTTGAGTTTGTTCATCTCAGAAATTCTCAGTGGAAAATTGCTGTCAGAGAGTTTTTGCTCATAGTTCATAATATAATCGCTATGTTGGATACAACCATAGTCAGTTTTCCTAATGGGTCCACCATACCGCTCTTCAATACTTTTCATGCTTTCATATTGAAATTGTCTGAAGTTAATCTGTTCTGCAATACCTTGCGCTGAAGGAGCAACAGACATATGCATATCTTGAGGATGACCCCTCAGAAGGTCAGGTACAACTTTTGTGTTATGTAACTGTATTCCGAAATTGAGAGGACTCCCATCTCCAATCAGGTTTTGATTACTGCAGTTTCTGTAATATTGCTTCCGACAGACTGTATGAGAATGAGTAACCTTATTGTTTTCTGTTTGATTGGGAAACTTTTCACCCAAAGCCTCTGTAATATGGGACAGAAGCAAATTGGTGATTCTACGATGGGCTGTCATATCCCAATGAATCCCATCCTCTGCCCGACGGTGTAAGTGGTATCGCAGAAAGTGGTGTAAATCAATCACATCAAGACCATGAGAGGCTACAATCTGACGCGCGACAAAGTTGGCTTCCAATATCTCCAGTTGTAGAGAGTTCATCATATGTTCTACCTCAGGAACAATAAAGCCACCCTTGGCATTTCTTGACACAGGCAAAGTGGTGTTCCACAGACACAAACATTTCTCTGTCAAACAGTCCTTCATGCAGATGCATAGTTTCTCAAGATTTGCCTTGTAGGCACTCACGTAGTTATCACCATACCTGAACAAGAGATACTATAATTCACTTTCATTTCAGTCTACCTATTAAAATATTAAAAAATAGTGAAAATCTATAACTGAACACACAAATACTACAATTCTTTCGAAAAGAATTCCGTTTAGGATTGTTTACTATTGTTGTTAGAATGTGATATATCAAAGTACAAGGACAAGATAAAATGGACTTTAAGATAACCCCTTTTTAAATCCAGATTTTCAACTTTGAAGTTTTATTTTTGATAAATCTCATTCTGATATTAACGATGGAATTCTCTTTTAAGCAACCCCAGATCTGATTAAAAAACAGACTCAACAAAGCATTATTCTAGTTTTATAAAGTAAACTTTCTAGGTTTCAAAATTCAGGTCTTTAGCATCAGTGATGAATCCTAAAATGATTAAACAGATGTTACAAGAAAATATCTTAGCTATTACATATCCTGCACATTACAATGCATTTAAGTTAGCATCTTTCTTTGATGAACTAACAGAAGCTGTTAAATATGACATTTGACCCTTTAAATCAATCAGCAACCACCTGAATTACACAAGAGGTAAAAAATTACTTGTTGCTATTGGGTAAATATGAATCTGTTGAAGGGTTACCAAGCTATGACAATGATTCAGAAGAGGAAATGACTGATAGGTGTGGGTAACACTAGATGTCCCCACCATAAAACGGCAGAGGCATAAAAATAACAGAAAGGGGCTCACCTGGAAATGTCCCATAGGCACGAGTTGACGATCACCACATCAGGCCGTGGCTCTTCCTTCAGTTCAGTAAATATAGAATTGACATAGTTGTTAAAACAGCGAGTGACAAAGTAAAATCGTACTAAGTGGTAGTCAGTTTTATATTGGCGTACTTCACGATAGTGAATGCCATTGTTCATCCCGCCTTTCTTACCCCCCAGTAGTAACTGGTCTGCAGCAAAATTCATTTCACCCTGCAACAAAATATATTCATTATTAGAAGGAAATAAAGCATTAAAAAGTTTCCCAAAGAAATATTAATCTGATGACTTCAATACAATTTTGATGTACAGGTCATGTACATATTTAAGCTATATAATAAAATTTCTGGACATAGAAGTTACATATACATGTATAAGATAATGTCAATTGCAGTGAAATTCTCTCAGATTATACCTTTGCACGAAGTTGACGATCATTAAGGTAGCTGTTTTTCTGTAGTAACAACACTAAATCCTTGTAGATTGACCTTTGAACTGTATTGAAATGAAAAAAAAACCATAATGAAAAATGATTATATACACTTTAAGAACAGTGAAGAAAGTCAAATCTCAAAACAATTTGCAAGTTTTGCAGGAAGGAAGGTAAGAATTTTTTTACCATGGTGACCTTCATAAAATAACCGGCTAAAGGTTATGTTTTAAGAAACAATCAGATTATCGAGAAAGTTTATAAAAAAATAAAATTAAATAGTAGTTACAAAAGGATTAAACATTAAAACATGTTACTTAGATTGATAATTTTCTGTGTGAACAACCGTATGATATTCCACTAACCTGAGGACCCAATCATAACGACAAACTTGTTCTTCAGGATGGCATAAGCATCTTTACTCTGAAAGATGTCCGACATCATGAAAATCCAAGAATTCTGAAAATTATTGGAAAAATTATCAAGATGATGTTTTTTTGTGAAGCAATGACACTCAATGCTAGATTACTGTATCTATCATGTAATAAGACCAGGGGGCAAACCCCATTTAACTACAAAAAGGCTTGTATCACTCACCTGGCTTTACTTGGCTTCAGGAATACTAAAGGAATTTCTAACTATTCAACTATTTGACACAAAACATATTTATTTTCCTACTAGACTCAAATCCTCTGTCCTTAGGGGTCAGCCAAACCAGGAGTAGGATTTTAAAGAATTTACTCTTTTTTTACCAGAGACGTATATATACGTCTCTGATTTCACCTATTAGGCCCACCCCTCTATCCCAGGGGGTCGAAACCCACTCATTACATATAATTGATTATCTTCACCAAAAAATGCTTCAGACCAAGCATGGACAAAGTCTAATGATAATTACAACCATCAAATTATCATCAAAGTGATTGAAAAACAATCTTCATGGATTACTCAGAAGTCTCAAACTGACAGAAAAAAAGTACATTGGCAACAGTTAGGCCTATTTATCATTGACCGCTGACTTCTAAGTCTGACAGATGGTCAATATCTGGAAATATTTAGTAGCTTGTAGCGTGTCCAAGGGAGATAATCATGATCCGGGCAAATAAGTTCACAACTAAAACCTACAATGTGAGTAAGCTCCTAATACAACCAAATTAGCTTATACGAGTGCCTAATAATAAAGACAGATTTTCACTGTGTCTACAAGTTTATATACTTTATCAGAGAAACACAAACTAAGGAACACTTTTTAACTCTTTGTGCACTGCATGTGATAGGATGTTATTCCAGCCGACGCGAATGGTTTGAGAGAATCGTGTTCAAATAAGTAAATAATGAAGTATAAAACAATGAAAAGGTATAATTGTTTAGCGGAGGTATACGGTCGTGGTTCCTGTTTATCCGATATTCAAATATGAGTTTTCAGCGCTGTTACCTGTTTCAGCCACAACTTTCACGATCCGGTATCTCCGACTGCCAAGCCAAACTCACTCGGAAGTGACTTTTAAGTGCGGTACTCACATTTACTGACAACCCCTCAACACTCCCCCCCCCCCCCCTCAGACATTTCTTCTTCTCTCTTAGCTGCCGATTCCTTCAAATTCAAATGATTAATAGATTAATGAAGCAATACATTGTTGTTTTTCATTCCAGGTGAACGAAAACAAAATAACTTGTAAATAATACCATCACATCACTGATGTATTCAAAACGCGATTAATTAAAAAAGATACTGATTTAAAAGCTAAATGTGTGTATTGTTTAATTATGTAAACATATGTAGTATTGTAGTAAACATTTCGCAAAATCATATCATCTGTTAGCATCCTGCCTTTACCAGCAGCGTGCGCGCAATGTGTTATGGAACACTAGTCAACTAGGGTTCGAATCCTTGCGGGGGCATTGCAATAGATAATGACTTGTGTTACAACTACACACAATGTTTCAAAGCTACATACATGTACAGAAAATGTCTTTGAATAATCGAAGTACACAGATAATCTCCAGAAGAGGCCTCAAACGGAAGCGCTCATCATTGATTTTGCCAAGGTTTTTCAACAATGTCAACCATAGCCATCTCGTCCACAGAGTTTGCTCTACGGTAGATACCAGTTGTTGTCGATGGAGCAAACTCGTCACAGGCCGAAGTAGTGTCCGGTCTTAAGGTTTCATGAGTTTTACACAATGAACACTTTTTATTTCAAAACGACGTTGACGTTTGATATTTAAAATTGACAGCTGACAACCAAAATCTAACCAAGTGTAGACCTTGATAGTGTGACGTCATTATATGAATGTGAACTCAAACTGTTAAGGGTGCACTCGAGTGCTAAGGACTTCAAACAAAAGCGAAATATACATACTCGTGTTCAAAACAACTTTTTGTCCACAAGTCCCGAGGCGTATCCAGGCACACTTACCTACTTCCGTGCAGTCTACTAATTTTTCTATACGCGATTTTTTCAATGTTATCCAGAAGGAAGTTAAATTCATACCACTGAAGCTTTGGCGAAGATACTGAAATAAAAGATGATTCAAATTACAAGCGGTTGATTCTTAAATAATAAACCGTAACAAGTCTAGACGACCTACAATGTAACTTTAAATCATCTGCCTTTAACTGATTAGTATGAAATATGTGGTTATTCCGTAAAATACCACGCCCCGTAGAAATGGTAAGAAATAGTAAGACTCCTAAATCGTCAGGAGTTTCTGCATCGTCGATACTACAAAGTTTACGATCACTTTCGTTCTCTACACCCCTGGAAAACTGAAGGCACAACCGAAGTAATTTGATTAAATTTAGAAGAAAGCAACCGACCAATCACAGGCCGTTACACTCCTTTTGAAGATTACAAGAGACGACACCCAAGTCATCATAATTTAAAATATACCTTTATTCGGCCTCGAGATTCATTTGATTACATTAAATGATCAAACTAGTCTTGACCACAATGTGTCAAACATGAAATCTTCAATTTTGCCATGACATATTCCAGAGAGTGAAAGTGATCGTAACCCCTGGAGTATTGAGGATGGGATGTCTTACAAAGCACTGTATTACATGTTATTAAAATATACTTACAATCTATAACGTATTGATAATATCATGGCCTATGATAAATTTATGAAACGACAAATACGCCTACATGTATACCCTAGGCGTCACAGGGATTGGTCACGAATTCCCGACCTCCGGTCCATATACATGTATTATAGTGACTATGTATATAGACCGTTGGTCGAGAATTTGTGCCAAATCCTTGTGCAATACGTCTATGTCCTGTCGCTCCCGAGAGGGGAGATTTTCCTTTCACATTAATTCTGTTGAATTGATATTATCACATTTGACATAATATCTCTTGGGTTCCTGCTTCTAAATCATATTGATTAACACATGTAACACAGTAGGCGTAAACAAACATACTTGTTTGTAATAGCCATGTTTATTACATGTTGAATAACAATAATGTTACATGTACAAAAGCAACATCTTATCAACATATAGAGTTCATATACTAGTACTTCACATTGTGTCTCGTATCAGAACTGTCCATCTGGTGGGCTCCCCCAAGGCTGTCTCTGACCGTGCAATCGGGTGTCCAAACCCCTTCTCCCTTATACCCAAAAATCTAGCTTCTATTTATTTCAACTTGACCGATTCTGTCCCGCTATCCCCTTATATGGACTTCACTCGTTGCTAGATGATACGATTGTTGAAGTATAGCCACCTGTACTGAGGTGCAAGGTTGAGATTCCTGCTAATTTGTTACTTGAAATAGACCCTAATAATTACTCCACCACTAGGTGGCCACTTCCGAACGGTAAATTACATAAGTTTAAATATCGAGGAAGTGGGAATAGTCTCTAATTAATTAACTGGCCGAAGCTGTACACCCACTGATAATATTCTCGGGGCCCAGACTACACCAACCTAAGTGTATATATGCTAGTACTTATCCACACCCCTGTGAACTACCTATATGTGTTTTATTGATATACTATTGAACATTAAACGAACTATTGTTTAAGCTAACTTATTTAAACCAATCCCATATGAAAATCCAGATGTGTTATGCTAAACCCTATTTTGTTACACACAGTAATCAGAAAAAAGTGTTAAACAATATACAGCAACCGCAGTATATGAAGAATGTAGATATAGCAGGTGAATTCGCCACAACGCGGACAAAAGCGTGCGTCATCATCGATAAAAACGTCAAACCATCTGTGACGTCACATACCTTTTTTTTGTAATTGATCATTTTATTCAATACAATGAGTTGATACAGAGAGGGAATATACAATGAAACAGCCTATTGCTCATCCATGCAAGCCCACACACACCTTTGCACACATGACAGCTCTTATAGTAGCTATTGTTTGTATATCTCAAGCAAGACATACAAGCTCATACACACAACAATCAAAAACAACTATATACTGTATGCATACACACACATAAACTGTTTCATGCACAATCACTATTCATTCTCCCTTGCATATACACACATATTATATTTATTAATGCATTTAGACTTAAAGAGCTATGAAGACATTTTGTTTTGTATACATAATGTTTTATTAATAAAATAATTTCATTATCAACTCGGTTGCTGGGTAAGAATTTATCAAAAATAATTCCAAAAAGAAAAGATTTCTTGTTAAAAGAAAAGGGAATATAAAGAATATTTAACAATGATTCAAAGCTTTGCAATAGTTTTTGTACTTCTTGACATTCCCACATTATATGGATAATAGTTTCAGGTTCTGAGTTACAGAATGTACGGAGAGGGGAGATAACTGTTCTGATTTTAAACAAAAAAACATTAGTAGTCAGAATGTGTTGAATAACTCTGTATTGGAACCACATACGTTTTGTATTAGTGGTGACTTTAAATGGCATCTTGTAATAGTTCTCCCATGTTTGTTTGTCAATGTCTTCAAATAATGTATTCCATTTTCTGGTTCCTGATGAAATCAGTTTATACTTAATTAATGCTTCATAGAAAATTTTTGAGCCTTTACCGTCTTTAAGAAAAGGATCTAAATTAGCAGGAATGTAAGGATAAGATAGTGTGGGTAAAGGAAAATGTGTATTATGGGAAGAAATAAATTTCTTCGCTGAGGACAGAAGACTCTGATATTTCAGGAAGTTTGTATTTACATTATATTTTTGAATAAATTCACCAACTGAGTAGAAAACTCCAGTGTTTGTGTCTTTAACTAAATCATTAATTACAAAAATATTTTTGCTATAAAATTCCTTATAAAACAATGATAAACCAGCTATCTTTATCTCTTTATTGTACCACAAAGGTGTTTTTAGTATCTGTTCTTGATGAATATTATTGTAGTATTTACTATTAAAGAGATGAAATATTTTGAAAACGTCTTTCCAAAAATCATTTCTACAATTCTTACTACAACTCTCAATGTACTCG